CCCATCCCCAGAACACCCCTTCCACCGCTATTTCCAATTCCTTCAATATCATCTTTAACACACTACCGCCCAAACGCAGGCGCAATAGGCACAATGTATCGAACACTCCTCATCTTCCTCACTTTATGCCTCTCGACCCTAGTAGCCGCCGGCCGCAAAGACCCATCAAAAACACCGATCGAAGACTCCAAGCAAGAAAGACACAACATCAACGACAAATGCCACGGCCTCTTCATCAATGGCGAAAGACCCGCAATCGCGGGTGAGGGCGTGCAGCGCCCTCTCAACGCAGACGGCACAAAAAAGCCCTATCCCATACGACCTCCCAGCAGGCCGCAGGCCATCTGGGGCTCATGTGACCGTCGCATCCGAAGCTATAGGATGTCGAAGCTGGACCTGGACCTCTGTCTGGGATGGAATCCGGATACCGAAAAGCTCTACCCGAAGTCTCGCGGAAACGGGATTAAGGAGGGCAACTGCTCGGCGTGCTACTACGCGAAGCCTGACCTTCACTGTGTGTGCGATGTCAAGAAGACGGACGACGATAGGATATCTATGAATTTGGGTGAGTGGTCTAACGTTTCCTGTTGGGCTGTAGGGACTTTGCTGACTAGGGGGCCTGTAGATGGGTTGGTGCAGGTTACTCATGATGGTTTTCTGGCTTGCTTTGAACATCTTGGAACACAGGTCTCGATGGATCAATTCATTCATGGATAAGTTGGAGATGCGTAGGGGATAGCGGTGTTGGGCTTTGGATTTGGATTTGGTCATGTTGCCATGCTTTTTCTGGATGTAGGATTCGGGGGACCTGCTGTATTGGTGTTTAAGAAAATATTGGATTAAAATATGGTTGCTTTGGAGGTACTAGCAATATACAACTGGTTTGCTAGATGTATGTATATCCACACGCGTCACTTGAGAACTTGCGTTGCGTTGGCACATGTCTACATTCCTGCTGGCATGAACATGCAAAGCACCAATGGTATGCGCTATAGGTATGATCCCTAGGCTAAATGTGTAGCAGCATTCTGTCAATACTCTGAAAAAGGGGTAAAGAGAAAGAAATAGAAAAGGAGAGCAGAACAGCCTGGTTTGCAACCTGCGCCGAACCTTCGCAATTTCTATTAGTCAACAGTTTACAAGAAGGACAATTCTTTCCGGATATCCTACTGACGAGGATGCAAAATGAGATGATCATACGAGCCGGATGTTTGGAATGAAGCCGGTATCAGATAGCGCCTTTCCTAACAGAAAGCCGGTGTGATATGAGGCGAGTGGGGGTTACAGAAGCTAAAGCAAAGCTCTAGATGAGGCTTTTTGAGTGCGAGGATATTTGAGTCATATCAGGAGCTACAGTGTCGATCAGATAAAGAATCTTGTGGGGACATTGTGGACATCTAGTGGTACCTTGGTGCTTGTAGAGTGTCCAAAACTTAATATGATCCGTACGAGATGCAACTAGATGGCAGAGCGACGATTCATAGGTGAGTAGTACATTCTTTGTCCCTTCTCACCTGTGCTACAAAATGGATTCTAGTAGAGATGTAAAGCACTCTTATGATACCTCATTGTATTGTATTGTGGAGGATGTCACCAAAGCACCAGGATGGTGGCTTTAGACGCTTTCCAGTTCTTTCTTGTATACAGGACGTATGCATGTATGCGTTATCAATCATATCATGACTCTTAGATCTCTGCCCCCTGAAACGTATTGGTCGTACCTTGCGGCCCCTGGAAAACTCTGCTGCCCATCCCGTTTGCCCCAACTTAAATCCCTAAGCTGTTGCCCTGCGCCCAGCTTGGCGTCACAAAGGAACAAATTCCATCACCAGAACTAGGTACCCAGGGGAAGGAAGGCATCATAACGAAAATAAGCCTCCCCTGAAACCGCAGAGAAGCGGTGTCTACAGAGCAGATTCACATAAATAGGCCCGAGCACAAACGCCCTGATACTCAATCTTTCTATGCTTACAATCTCCCTGTTCAGTACTTTATTGCGTAACCAAAGCAAAATGCATCACTTCATAATTATCATTACTCTATATCTCTCAGCCTTGGTAGCCGGAGGCGGGATCTTGTCGAAGCCCAAGCAAACTCCGCCCGATGAAGGCATACCCATGACAGACATGACCTCTGGCTCTTCCGGAGGAATATCCGACACGAACAACGTCAACAAAGGAGCATTAGCATTACATGACGAATGCCGCTACCTCAAGGTCAAGGTAACCTCGCCCGAAGCAAGAGCAACGGCCTCAGCAAAGGATACCGCCAAGACAGGAAAGGGACCCACGACGATCACAACCCCATATCGCCAGGTCCTACTGACAGCCGATTGCCGTCGGCCCATGTCAGATCCCAAGAAAGCACACCCGGACGGAGACTGGAGAGAGACCACACTGGACTTGGACAAGTGCGTTGGCTGGAATGCACAGACACAGAAGTTGACTCCGGAGTCGGATGGCAAGGGACTCATGAAGGGTGACTGCTGGAATTGCGACTATTTTACTCAAGTAACGGGCAAATCTGCGAAGGCGGAATTCGAATGTTATTGCGATAGTGTCGACAACAAGTCGAAGCAGAAGATTCCCCACTCGAAGGACAAGGCGCTTAAGGTTAAGTTTGATCTTGGTAAGTGTCCCTGTTTCTAGGGCTTGGGTGGGTTGCTGATATGTGGTTATAGATGCTGTGCTGTGGTCAAGGGATGGCCGTCTCAATTGCCATAAGCATATGGGGTCCTGAATTAGAGACATGGAGTGAAAGGGCCATCGTGACGAAGGTCAAGGTGGTTTTCAAAGAGTTTAAATTGCTTTGTTTGAAAAGGAGGAGACGCATTATGGGAGGACGGTAGCAAGTTTCTTGTTTGGTTAGGTGGTCTTGTCAACACTGGGACCTGGAGTATTGATTTTGATCAGATATGTATGGGAGGCATCTAATAACTGTGGCTGAATGTCACTATAGTTTAATTGTCTATTCATTCTTCCCTCATATTGCTTTCTCCTCTACCCTGTTGAGATGGTGAAGGCTCCTCACGGCCTGTGGCTTTCTGAATATGAGAACAAACATTCGCAATCCAATATAGAACATAGATATCTAAGAAAGAGTTCAAGAAGAACCTAAATAAAATGAAGAAATAAATCAATTATCAATCACATTAAGACCGAAACATCGCTAACCCATGCATACATGAATGCAAGAAAACAACAACCCAGTCTATAACCCCATAAAATCGCTCATTCCAAAGTATTATGCCCTTAAAAGCCCCACTGCTCAATCCAGTTCTCCATCAGCGTAGCCGAGATAGGCCCTAAGCTCCTCATCGTCTCACTTGCCTCCTTCGTCCTTTGCACACTAATATCAGCCGATAACATGCCCTCTCCACTGGACAACCCGCGGTAGAAATCGAGGAGTTTCAGAGCCGGCTTGTCCCGAACATCCTGGTCAGACGGGTTCTTGATAGATTCCAGATCAGCGATCCATTCGGGGAAAGGGACTGTCTTTGTATTATATTTCGATTCGATTGCAGGGATGAGCGAAGACCAGGTCGCGTGGTTAGGATTCATGAGGTGGAAGAAGGCGTTTGGTGTTTCAGAAAGGGTTCCCCGACGGGTTTGAAGAGCGTCAACTGTAATCTGGGCCAAAGTATCCTGTGACTAAGTTAGCGAGTCATTGGTATAGTATATGGTAGCATAGGAACATACAACAGGAACCCAATCAATGGGCATCGAACCGAGGGTGCTCGGAACCTTTCCGAGAGCCTTTGACGTCGCGACAATAGTTGGGAGCCATTCATCGGGGTTCCAAAGTCCACTCTCCGTAGTAGGGCCAGCAATCTGCCCAACTCTGAAGATAGTAGTGGGCACGCGAGCTTTCTCCGATGCAATCACACACATGCGTTCCGAGACATGTTTTGACTCCCCGTAGCCCTGCTTTAGCACTGCTTCGTCATTCTCGAGAGGGAGTTCGGGAACGACTGGTCCCATTTCCGAGGTCCAGGCGCCGATTGTCGCGACGGATGAGACGAAGGAGAGGTGTGCGTTGTATTTGCTTTCGAGGCTGAAGGAGATGAACTCTCGGACACCCTTGATGTGCGGGTCTTCGAAGGATTCGAGCGGGTGGTTGAAGTTGACTTTCCAGGCGTTGTGAATGATTAGGTCGACTGTGTTTAGGAGGGAAGTGTATTTTGTATCGTCGATCCCGAAATGTGGCTCTCCGAAGGAAACCTTGAGGAATTCTACTCTTGAAGGGTCAGACAGCGGAGCGGCATTGAGGCCCTTCTCCTTGAAGCTTTGGATTTGGCGTGACTGGGCGTCGGAGCGGTTGAAACAATAAACCTTAGAGACATTCTCGTTGATCAGGAGAGTGTACAGGAGATAGGCTCCCAAAGACCCGGTCGATCCGGTTAATATGACTGTCGAGGATGGAGGTAGTTGAGCCTGGGAGAGATGACGCGCTGGGATGTCGTCTGTGTATTTGGCTATGATGTTCTGGATTCGCTCGTGGCGGGGAATGATTGCGAGAGTGCCACCAGTGATAACCTTCACGAGGAATTGTGCTAGTTGGGTGACTGTCGAATGGGCATAGATGTGCTGAGCGGTGATCTGTGGGCGATCGCCAGCAGGCATCTGAAAAGAGACGGCATTGCGGAGTATCGTGGCCAACTGAATTGTTTGTAGGGAGTCGAGGCCCGCAGAGTACAAGTCCTCGTCGTTGTCAATTGTCTCCCTTTCAAGAAGAGAGCAGACGGTTTCGTTAACGTATTGTGTAATATTGTGCAAGGAGATGGTTTCAGGAAGTGACCGATTCAACTGCTGATCAGCAGAGGCGTAAATGGCGTCTATCTCTTCCTTATAATCTCTGTTAACGGCCTGGCGCTGCGTTGTACCCTTGGGCGTAGTCTTGAATGGCTTTTCAGGGGAGGAGAGCTTGATCATAGTTCTGGCAATGCGTCCATAGTTTGGCACGGTCACATTTGCCCGTTCAACCACGGGCCAGACCTCATCAATGAACGCAGCCTCATCGATAGTCTTGCCCTGTTCGTTCCAGTATGGTTCAATCAGCAACGAAGTCTGGAACCGACCCTGTCCGATCAACACCGCCCTACAGATCTTCGGGTGACACTCGACCATCTTTTCCAGAGTCACTGGGTTAAGCTTTTCACCATTACTGAGCACAATCACATCATCAAAGCGACCATGGTACTTCCACAGCTTCGGATTCGACGGGTGTTGCACAAACAAGTCCTTCGACGCATACTCGGTCTTGTCAGGGAAGGTATGGAAGATGCCATGGATGGCTCGGGAGTACTCCCGACGAGGAATGACAAGCTCATACAACTCCTCGCCTCGATGCTGCATATCAACACCATATGCAGGGTTCCACTCGAAATAGCCCCAGTTTCCTTCTCCCTCTGGGACCAGAGAGCTGATAATGCCCATTTCACTCGAGCCTATGAGGGTCACAACTTTGGTGTAGGGGACGATTCGGTTGCCGATATCCGCGGCCAGAGGAGCACCTGCATAAATGACTGCATTTAATGTTCCGAGACAGTTCAGTCCAGCCTGTGTCTGACTTATATCCTCCAGGATGGCTGGCGCGAGTAACGTGATTGTTGGATTGGTTGCGCGTATCGTGTCCAGGACAAGGTCAACCGAGACCGGCTTGTCGGGAAGGTTCACGAAGGGGGTGTTGTGGAAGATAGCGGACGTAAGACCGTAGAGGCCCATGAGGTGGAAGAAAGGGGTAGTGACGAGAACAAGGTTGTTAGAGGTAGGATCGTTTGGCGCAGCTACACGACGGCCTACGGGGGTAGGTAGAAAGCCAACAGAGTCTAGGGTCGCGACGAAACCGTGCGTCAAGGGAACGGGCTTTGGCATTCCTGTGGTTAGGCTTGTTAACAGGAGCTAGTTTTCAATAAACCTATAATACCTATTCGCATACCTGTTGTTCCAGAACTATGAATGATAAAAGCAACATCATTCTCGGCCTCGGCGAAGGTTTTGGTAAAAGGGTATGGCTCTGGTACGTTGCTACTGTTGAGAATATCGGCTGTTGCTGGTACTTCATAGAAATCAGTGTCTTTGAGGAAATTCTTCATCGCCGAGATCTGTCGTTCTTTGTCATGGCTGTAGAAGAACTTTCGACACTCGGTCACATCCAGGATATGTTGGTAGGCTTCGTCGGAAAGTCTGCTTGAAGGGAGCAAAGGCTATTTCTCACGACGGTCAGAGTGTACCAGGATGTAACAACTTTTGGCATTCTTACCTTATAGCCGGTCTTGTTGCATGCAAGTATAAAGATCAGGTAGACAATGTCATTCCTTCCCATATATGCCACAGTCTCATTGTTCTTGGCCTTTCCAACCTGCTCCTCAATCCACCATGAGAGTGCATTCACTGCGTGGGCAATTTCGCCAAACGACACGTCCCGGAAGCCTTGCGATACTTTGAGATCACTGGGGATAACACCGAGCTTCTGCTGGGGGTTGAACTGGGCAACTTCATCAACGACGTTGGTGAGAAGGCGCTGTCCGGCGTTGATGGGAGTCTGTGGCTGCTCCATTGGTGTGAAAGAAAATGGTACTTTGGGATAATGTAAGCTGAAACAAGTAATTAAAGTAATGCAAAGATGTCTATAAGAGAAACGCTTAGAATTAATGAATGCTTTGCTATGTCACAGTATGTAGAAAAAAAAGGGCGCCCACCCCAATTTATATCCCTCTGGGATGACAAGACATTTCTTCTTGCCTTGCTCCCTTCCGTTCGAGACACCTCTGGGCCGATTATCCAGCGGGTATACTCCGTCGAGCGCGTTATCCAGGGAGAATGTGGCACTAGCAATTGTGCGCGATTATGGCGGGTGGTCGACGCATAAGCTCCCGGAGGCAAAGTGGAGACCAAGGAGCAATTGGCTCATGCAAGGGAGGTATACAAATCCACGCAGCAAGAAAAAGCGCATTCATGACCAAACACGAATCATCATCTACACATAAACATAAACACAAGAAAGCTACAGAAGCTATTTACAATCAGACCCTCATTATAGATTGTAGGAACACATGATCCTGGTAATTGCTCCCTGTTGAAGTATTTCAGCCACTCTAGCTCTGTCCCAGGGAAAGAGTACTTGGCACAAAGCTTAACTCAACACAAGCACAGCCGAAGGGAGATCCCGTTCATCCCAAGGATGTCTAATTGCCAACTAAAATTATACATGGCGATCCAGACGCGCTAAGGTGGAGTTGATGCCAGTTGATATGGCGGCCCGTCAACTGCCGAGAATGCTCCCCAAAATGGCAATATGCTCCCTATCCGATCGGTTTCGGGTCCTTATCTTCACGTGCTTTCCTTCTATCTTACCAGTTTGGGACTGTTTTCGGTCGGGTTTCGGCATCCCGATAGTACCCTAATTGAATGATCGACAATCCAACTGGATACCAGCTCCACAGCGGGGAATGAGTTTTGGTCTAATCATGCTTCAGGCTGCAATGAAATAAAGCACGCACATTGGAGTGATGTAAACATGACTTGGGTTTTGTCCAGCGATGGGGCCGGATAAAGTTCACGGCAGTTGATAGGGCTGTGCCTGGACCATGGGTCGTAGCTGTCTTGTCAATATCCGGGACTATTCTTTACCCTGTAGTGAGACCAATGACAGAATATCGGCTTGCCGTTAATCACGCAAGTCTTGGTATGCTTTTGGTTCAGCCAGTCGCATAGACAATGTCCGAGAGAAGAACACGACTGCCTGGCTTCCGACAGCTACTCTACATCTCTATATTCAGCTATCAGCTGGAGATATGACTTGTCAAGGTAGCTTGTATGACGCCTATACTAGAGACAGAATCATTGCATAGCAATGACTACAAGTTACATAAACTCTTAGTGGCTCAGAATACCGATTGATACAAACACAGGATACTAAAACACAGGACACATGATATGCCAACGAAGTTCACATACAAAGCGAAGCCAGCTGCGATACCTAATTATCGTTGACAACCTCACCGAAAACCTTGAACTCCACCAGCCGAACCTTTTGCTCCTCTTGTGGCACGAAAGCAAGCCGGATCTGGTCCGTGTCGACACCGTCCCAGGTGGCCCGGGTAATTCCGTTCGCAACCGGGGAACTATAATTCGCACCAGACACCTCCGCCCACTCGCCGGAGACATTAACCTGAATACTATATGTCTCAGGAGCATCAAAGCCTTGCGTACTATTAGCGAAAAAGGCTATCTCCGCGCTGGCCGTCTTGGTTGTAGACTCGAAGCTGATCTGGTACCATAGCTCACTGCCATTTCCAGCTGGTGTATCCCAACCGTTCGCGACGTCGGACTCTGGGAAGAACCAGACTCGACCGTCGATGGCGGCGTGAACCGCGTCGGTGTCTGCATCTGTGACAGAGACACTGCCTTGGGGGTACACAGTTGAGTTCTGTTGCACGGAGACAGCTATAGGGCGGTTAATTGCCGGCGGAGTTTCTCGGGTGATGCTGGTAGTAATACGGGTCAAGCTTGGTGCTGTGGAGACAACTTTGCCGTCGACCTCGACCACTAGCCCGGAGGTGCCGTAGTGATTACCATTGGCGTCCCACTGGACGGCGATCTCGTGGCCATGGTAGAGAATGCGCTCGGCACGGAAGTATGACACGACTGCTGGGTCTGCTAGCGGGTTCACCTCAAGCACATCGTCAGCGCGAGGACGGATGCCAACAAGTCCGGAAAGGACGAGGTCAACATAGCCGGAATGGAAGTAGTGCGGGGAGCGCGCCAATCCGACGATCGGACTGCCTGTATCGGCATCATAGTCTTCTTCCAGGTTTAGGACACCACCTCGATTGGGGTTGTAATGTAATTGAGCATACTGTTGGAGCAGGTCGGTGTAGTCGGTCTTTGTCACGACGTTGGCAGCAGCAGATGTGTTGTAGTGGTCGAGCAAGTTAGCAAGGGCCGATAAGACTTGAGTGGTCTGGTAAGGCCAGGCAGGTCCGTTCCACTGGCACTCGCGTTTATCGCCTTCATAGCGGTATTGTTTCATGTAGTATTCATAGCTCGGCTCGTTGGTGCGTAGGCCGTGAGCGCCCGCGAACTTTTCGCTATCCAAGAGATGCTTCCATGCTTGAGCAAACTCCTCTGTGTCGTCCGGCAGATCGTGTGCCCAGGGAACATAGCCCACCAGCTCCCGGCCTCGAATGAAGTCCCAGTATGTTACATACTCGTTGTCCACTTTGTACCTATCAATGAAGTGCTCGTAGGTGCTGTTCCACAATGTCTCCTGTACTGTTTTCTTGATGTCGGTGGCCTGCTGCTGATACTCGTTGGCCACATCCTCCTGGCCCAGTAACGTCGCCAGGTTGGCAATCGCCAATGCGTTCGCATACTGGTAACTATTGATGCTGGGCCGGAAGGCATTTCCTCCTGTGAAACCATCCGCGCCGCCGGATGCGTCGATGCTAGCAATCGTGTACTCAGTCGCATCGGTGAGTGGCTGTATCCAGTATAGGGCCTTAGAGGTGTCGTATCCTCCCGTTGACATGGTGGTGGTATTCCATCCCTTGAAGACCTCCTGCATGGTATCTAAGTGGACGGTAGCATCGTCTGCTACTCCATCGACCAGATACCCCTGCCACACTCCGTCGGCCATACTCTCAGAGAACTGGTATGGGTTCCTGTACGGGCCGTAGAGAAAGCTTGCGTAGTCGCTCTTGAAGCGACGATCACGGCACCAACGGCCTTCACGCAGATGGAAATTGGCGGCATCAATCAGCAAAGCTGAGGGCTGAGTCTGCCAGCTGACATCATTCAGAAACTCGGTTGAAATGTACCCATCGGCACCCAAATCACGCTGGTGGGCACGAAAGATATTCCACCGATAATAATACACATCCTGGATATCAGACGCACTGGACTCGAAAAGCGGGATCCGGTCGCGATACCACGGTGCATCATTGCCGAAGTATTGAGCAGTAATGGCATCTGCATCCAGCCCTGCAGCCTGCAGAAACAAGCTGGCCCAAGCCAGGCCTTTCACACAGTTCATTTTCGATGGTTGTTCCTGCGCATCATGCTATATGCTGAAGACCGGGGTGCATTTATAGCTTCACTACGGTTCTTGGCTCTCCGGCGGGGAGAGCACGCATCAGACGATGTCCGTTCTAGTTCAGGATGGTTCTCACGGTAAATTACCCCGAGGGGCTATTAATGTGCCGATCGGAGTGCAATTGACTTGCGCTAAATTGGTCCATAATACATAATTTGGTCTCTTGTGTCGGAGCCCCGCATGGCGTTTCTTCACTCCTGTGGGGGTTGACCAGGAACCCCGACTTTTAATTTATGATAGCGCCATGGCAGTGCCCAGGTTTCCCCAGTCGTCGTCATATTTCGGTTATTAGTTGAATTGTCCCGGTATATTATGTCCAAGTGCCGACTCTATTTTTCGCTTTGTTGCGCCGCCTCCTGTAGCTTTTGCATGTATGCTTCCGATTGAGCAGAATATGCGCATCGCCTGCGAATCGCTTCCCCGTACCGGTAGAAAATAAATGGAAAAGGCATACATGCGACTGTAAGAAAGGCGGGGATTGAGGAGGCCCAATGAATCCCTAACCCATCATACATATAAGTCGTGAAGAGCGGAAATATTCCTCCAAACAGAGATCGCAGAACAGCATTAGCCGCCAAGACCGATGCGGCGAAAATGGTATAAGAATCAATAAGATATCCCATGATGCCTAGGTATAGGAGAACAATCCCACAGCCGAATGGAACGCCGGCTGCTATACTAACCATCCAGTGAATGGAGGGAGAGTTGGTCCACGCGAACCAGAAGAGACCGACAGGAATCAACATTGCAGATAGCATCACCGGCGGCAGGCGTGACTCTGGAGGCGCGAACCCTCCATGTCTTTTGACTGTTCTCATGTATCGCTTGTTGTCAGGAATTGTGTAGATCGTTCCGACAATCATACCCACAGCAATGCCCATGAAGGCGAGTCCTCCCACGCCTTGGTTCCATCCCCGGCCGTGTTGGTACACAATAGGAAACGCGGCAAACATCATAAAAAGTGCGCCATAAATGATGGCAATGTATACAGATAACATAAATACGATAGGCTCTCTGAATAGTAGGACCCATGGTCGCAATAAAGAGGTGGCAAACATCCGTTTCAAAGAAACAGCCCCTGCATTCTCGACATCTAGCTTTGATCGATAAACCATGCCAGTTTTTTGAGAAAGACGCTTTGCTCTTTGGCGGAGGAGAACTGGTGCGTAGGTTTCAGGAACGAAGCAGGTCATCAGAATCCACAAAACCCCCGAAAGCGCAGCCAGGAAGCCTTCCACCCATTTCCACCCAGCATTCATCCCCAGAAAACCACCGATCACCGGTCCAATAGCAGGCCCCATGAAGGGTGCTGCAGCAAAGAGGCATAGAGCCAGCCCCCGTTGCTCAGCTCGAAACATATCGCTAATCACACCCCCCGCGTTCGTCAGGGGCGATGATCCCGCCGTGCCTGCCAGAAAACGCAGAACCAACAAAGTCTGTATATTCTGTGCACCGGCACATCCCGCCAGAAAGACCGTCATCGCACCAAATGAGACGAAAAAGGGATATTGTCGACCAATGAACTCGCTGAGCGGCGCCCAAACCAATGGCCCGAGTGCAAAGCCGATCACAAAAAGCGATAGTCCAAGCGTTGCAACTTCCGTGCCGACATCCAAGCCTTCCATCACTTGTTTCGTAGATCCAGAATATGCTGAGGAAGCGAGGGCAACGGCCAATGTTGCTGTAGAGACGACGACCGTAATGCTGACTTTCTTGAATGTAGTAAAGAGGATGGGGTTTCTGGGATCATTCGGCAGCCAGGAGACCAGGAAGGGATCCGTTTCCGTTCCTGATCCAGGGTAATTGTGATGCAGAACATCCTGAGTAATGGCCCCTTGGTCTACCACCTGGCGCCAAAAGGGTATGTGTCGTCCACAGTCTTGCTTAGTCCATTCCGATTGACTCTCTGGGTCCATACCCATGATCTATGGAATTAGCCAGGCGAGCTGACTCTGTCGCAAAACCTTGTTATGCCACGCCGAAGGACCATGGTGGAAATAATGTTGGCTTTATAACGACCGTTATATCCAGACGATATGCCAAGACAGTCATCAGGGAGCGGAGTCCAACGCTTTGGCTCGGACCCTAGACGTGCACTATCGTCTATCATTGGCCAGGTCACCGAACTTACGCCCTACAGCCGACATAAGGAGTCCTTTCCCCATATAGGGTAGGGAGGGTTGTGTCATCAAGTCGCCTTTAACTCCGTGACCCCGTCAGCACTCGGCACACAATTCCGAGTCCCCTTTTTAATACAAAGCAGATCACAGTGAACCGTGCACACGGGATGCCGTTTACGAGCCAATCATTCCGAAATGTTGGCTACCTAATCCCACAACACATCGCACTTGGGGCACCAAGCATAAAACTATGTATTCAATTCGGTTCTTCCAGGTTCCCGACCGACCGATTATCAGCTCTAGTGGGGTTCACATGCAGCTAACTACAAAATGATTCGTAACTATGACTCGGAGAGTGAAACAAAAACCCGGCTAAGTAAGCAGAAAGTCGTAAGGCGGTTGATATGTCCGCCTGTCCTCCTCTCTGGGAATCGGATCCGTACGGCCCAATTTCTGTGGTTATGATATCATCATTTGCACGTCAAGTAAACTATGGACCGATTTGAAGTTCCACCACAGGGCCCTTGTATACCTTCCTCGCTCGGACGAGATAATAGAACAGACTCAAAAGAATAACTCCCCCAATCCCCACTACACTGTAGTTCATGGATTCAGCCGATACATGATTCATGGGTGGCCAGAAACTGAAGAAGACTGCAATGGTCATAAAGATCACAGCAAAGACGTTGATAAGGATGCCCCAAACCCCCGGGACATGAAAAGGACCCCAGACAAGCTGGGCTCCGGCGGTATTGATCATGGTATGCTCACCCTTGGACCCACTGATTCCACCCGTACAGCGTCGCCAGAGCAAAAGTCCGGCCGTAATCAGGTATGATGAGAACAAGCCCGAGGTGGACAAGGACATCAAGTCATTGAATGCCAGGTCAGAGCCAATACCAATAAGGCTCAGCAGACAGGTAATGGCGGTGGTCAGGGTGACTGCGTATGCTGGAATTGCAGAACGAGCAGTGACCCTCGTCCACACTCGCCATCCAGGGATGCCCCGGTCACGCGCAAAGGACCAGAATTGCCGTGATGTCGAGGCCAGCATACCGGCCGAGGAGCAACTGCCCATTGCAACGATAATGGCGCCTGCAGTGGCCGTGCCCGCTACAGATCCCGTTGCCTGGTGGAATATAGTTAGGAAGGGGACTCGAGCTTCCAGAACTCCCGTCATATCCTCGACACAAAAGAGCAATGCGATTAGCATGCTGAAGCCGAGGACGCCATTGATTAGCACAGTGAGCATCAACGCCAAGGGCACAGCAACTGTGGCATTAGTGATTTCTTCAGACAGCTGGACCGTGTCAGCTCTCGGATCCGTCGATGTTTAGATAATTTACGTACATGTACTGCAGCATCGCCCCCTGCAAAAGCAAAGACAGGTCCAATCAGGCCAACAAAGAACGAAAGACCCTGAGAGGGCCATTGACCTTCGTTCAGAAACTGGGTGAAAACTTGCTCGGCTGTATTATGATTGGCCATGTAGACCATTGGAATTCTTCCCAAATAAGCAGAAACCTCACATATTTATGGGACGTGATATTTACTTACAGAATAGCAAAGAAGCCCAAAATATGGAGGACTAGGATTGCACCTTCAAATCGTGGCAATACCTTTCCTCCAGCAATATTGATGATGAAACCGAAAAGTGCAATCGCATAACCGATCAGCACCTGTCGCCATATTTTAGGCTCGTAGGATGGATTGGTGAGCGTCACCAATGTCTCGATATAGTTCCCACCCAGATAGCAGACGGTCGCATAAGTGGCCTGCCAGCCAATTACCGTAAGCCAGCCTTGGGATATTCTCAGTTAACGCATTGACTCGCGTATAAATCATGTCATGCCCCTCCACGACTCCACTCACCTGTGATGTAGCTGAAAATTTTCATTGCGGACTGAGGTGCGAGCATTGAGCACCAGTGGTACTGTCCTCCTGACGTTGGGGCCCTGAATGGTTCTTCTTTAGCACGATGTTTCTAATATCGCTTCGTAATTCCTTACATCGACACAAGCTCCGAGATTACTACAAATGTAGCAGCGATACCAAACCAGACAAATATGTAACCATAGACACTACCGGCAGGACCACCACTAACTTTTGATCAGTCTGGGCTGTAATTGATGGACAGGATCTCGTGTACTTTTGAAAGTTCTGAAGAAATAGCCTATCCCGAGCGTGATGTTTCAGCTGATAGAACCGTGAAGGCAGGTGATGTGGTAGAGCCCTACGTCGTTACAGACTCCCATGTGATCAGAATGGTGCAACTGAATCCCAGCATCGACAGCACCCCAAAGTTTCGCTTCAAGACTGGACGCTTTCCTAAGCGGGTCAAATGGATGTCGTCCGCATTTTGATATGATGAGGGTTCCTCAAGCTCATATGACCGGGGACGTGTAAATTGCTTCAAGCCATAGGACGTCATGGCGATGGAAGTAGTCCTAGTGCCTTAACAATGAAGAGCTGCAAGTATGCATATACAAAGGTGCTTAATTCAATTGAGAAACTTTTCAAGTCGGGTTTTTGAAACACATATAAGTACAGGAGTCTGAAGTGAAGGAAGATTAGTTGATTTCAGATAGTTAAGAGATTTCCTGTCGTACGATAAATTCCAGAAAAAGGAAGAATCCCTCAATGCACTCCCTCCGCTTTCGTCCCACATTGGAACCCATTGTAGCCCAATTCGCCTAGTTAAATTGACTGGGGAGGCTATCCCTGGAGGGAGGTACTTTTGAATTGACGCATAGTATCAGGGATCCGGTGTGGACGATGAAACCTTGCGGTCGGGGCTGGGTCCGTCTTTATCAATCCTGGGAACTTGCAAGGCCATTTACAGGATCTTAACCAATGGATCCACGAGGAATGCGCCAAAATGCAAGGCGCTCCGACGTAATTTAATTATTTCGAATGGGTTACTTCTCAATTATATTTGGCCCAGTATAGGGCTCTCTGGATTAGATCCCGATCCCAGACTCTAATACTAACTTTTTCATCCATAGAATACATGATCGGCAGCGATATTAAATAATTGAAACTGAAAGGACGCAGTCTCTTCCTTACCCATTTCCAACCGCTAGACCTTTAATGTCGGTTATTTCAAGCCACTTGAATTATGCTCTATATAAATTGGCAAATGGGGAAGCTCTATATTATCTGTATGTTTCCGGTTTTGGATCACCCCGGCCAAGCACGACCTCACGGGCCTCGCAAAACCCTCGAGAGCATGTCTGTAGAGTAGTTGATTTCTCAAGCCTTCGTTTGCCAATCAATTCTCATGTGTTCTGGTTGGGGGGTGGGGGAGGGAAATCGAAACACTAGATCAATCTCACATGGGCTCTCATGTCAATCTCCACAACGGAGGCAGGGTTGCATTGACATGTCAGCATCCCTGCCATTCCAGCCTGGAATAATTTTACTCTCAAGTCCGTTCATGTTTACGGATAGTGTTAACACACCAGTCGTGGATAGAGGCTCAATGACGGGTTTATTCGCAGGTTGGTCTTAGCTTAGGATAAGCATCTCAGCCCAATCCTCCCGGTCTACTCGTTTTCTTGTTATTTGAATATCCCTTTTTTCAACGATTTTCCATTTCCGTTTCTTGTTTTCCTTTATTTCCCTTTTCTTTTCTCTCATATTTAGCCCTCACTTGTATGTTATTAGCCAGGAAAGAGTTGTATTTCTCACAGTGGAATCATAGCATCAGGCGAGCTGACCGATTGAATCACGCTCGGTCACCCTCTTCCTTGGCCAGTTTCGAGGGGCTTAACACTAATTAGAGACCACCTGGCAAGCATCAACTTGGCGCCAAGAATTGAAAAGAGTCTGCACTATGTAGGCTTAGATAGGTTAGATTGACTTAACTAGGGCTTAGGACGGTGATGTTAATAATACTGGGGTTCAACCCCCTGGGGGCCAGCTTTTCGGTCGAATCGGCCCTTTCCAGATTGTAGAGAGGCAGAGTACCCTAACATACTAAAGATTGAATCTTAAATTTGAGAGAAATTTTTGAAAAGATATCAAGATGACTCTAATATTTTTGGAAATTTTTTGAGAATTTTAAAAGTTAGATATAATGCTTAAGTGGCACCTATGTATATATGTTCATATGTGGTTGGGATGGCATCCAAAGTGTATATATATCTACACGGCAACTTCTCGATAGGTTGATTCACTTTAGATTGGAATCCATGCAAAACCCTCTAAATGTTCCCTAAATAATTTCTAATAATCTTTGATGCAATAAACTATTTTTCAAACATTTTTGAGGAATTTAAGACGTAGTATTATACGTGTAAAGGTACATTCGATAAAAACCATGTGGAAAATATCGTTGTTTCGTAGCTCGGGATTTTCTCGGCAAATCGCTCGAGCGAGGCATGGCTGATTATTATTCGATTTGCAATGAGATCATTGAAAGGTTGAATAGAGATTGTATAATAGGCGGACTTTTCAGTGAGTACATATCTTAATGGTATTTAGAAGTGTGAAGGAGCAGCACACAGTCTACAAAGTTAGAATCTCAATTGTAAAGATACATCATACTGTGATAAACTACCACTATATAAATAAGAGAGATGCAAGCATCCCACAATTCAACTGATTCTGTTGATCACTTTGGATATTTTACTTTAGCCTCAATCAGTTACGGTTGAAATGGGTGTTTCAGGCCTGAAATTCTTCAATTGATATGCAAACAAGAGAGCCAACAAACAAACATACATGCAGATATATAAGGAAATAGACAAGGAAATCGAAAAGCAGATGGTCTAAGTAGCAAACAAAGGAAAATAAACAGCAAATTGATATAATTGTTTTCGCATCGTTCTGTACATCCCCCTTCACAATCCTTTCCCTTGGCCTTATGGTTGCATTGCCAAAGCACTGACCAGCAGTAGCTTAGACGCAAGGCTTGCAAGCAACCTGTTAATGATTAGTATTGGGTCATCATTAGATAGAAGAATGATGCAAAACTTACAGTCATGGTGCCAAGTCCAGCGACACAGGCAACATCGGCAATGGGGTCTAGAGTATTCAGTCAGTGAAGGATCTCAAAGTCTTTGGTGCAGAAGGACATACTAAGAGCAAGCTCGGCAGCGGCAGCGGCGCAAGTGGCGCTCTGTCCAACGACGGAGCTGATACAGGCTTTGGAAAGAGTCAGTTAGCTGTATAAGTGAAGCCTTTGGGAGTTAATTACCGAGCCAGCTGCATCCATCATTTTCCTTGGCCTTGGTCCAGGCAGAGGCGATGTTGTGGATATCAGCAGCGCTCTGGATGTTGGTGGCAGAGATGCCGTTGGAAGCCGGGATGGCGGTGGCAACAGCGAGGAAAGAAGCGGCGACGATGAGGAACTGCATTTTGATAGTGGAATAGTAGAATTGGTTTGAAGAGATTGTTTGAATGGTGTTGTTGTTGTTTGGAGGTTGTAGTGTTGTAGCGTTGTTTGCTTTGTTGTGTTGTTGTGTTGTTGTGTTGTTGTGTTGATGAAGATGTGATTAGAGACGACGATTGAGGCCCTTATATAGACTTTTCGTGCCTTGCAGGATGTATGAAGATTGTACTTCTTGCAGAGTCGATGGACGTTGTATGTCCTGCAATGTGAGATTCTGTATACTGGCCATGTTAATTTTGGATTGTAGAGTCTCACCTTGCATGATAGTCTATCTCAATGACATGTTTCGCCCCTATCCCTGTCAGCTTATTCTTGGCGGTTATAGGACCTAGCAAGTCAAGGGACCTTTGGCGCTAAAGCTCTCAGTCTGAGCAGGCTAACCGGTGTATCAAGCTATACTCTACGAGAATGTTCGAGCTATGACATGAGTGCTGCCGCGAACATAGCCATCACTCTGACACCTCACGGCCATTGTGCTTCCCAACATGTCGGGCAGCTTAGCTAGGCGCTCCAGTTCTTGGGGGCTAGGATTATTTTTCGCGTGAAAGGCACTTAGGATCTCCCGTTTAGGCGGAGCTGAGTATCATGTTACGTTTCATTGAGGAGTTGTACACGGTCTGCTATAGCACTATCTACTCTGATTACTCGCATCTTCAAGGGCTTGCCCTGAATACGCCTCGGGAAGCTTGGTAACTTCCTCAGAACTTACAAGCAGAATCGGAAAATAATGTGCCAATCCGAGTAAAAGGGAGATGGGAGATAGAAAGACACCACGTGGGGAATTGTGCTGCGACAGAAGAACGGGGATGCTTGCACGCGAGACTGCGCCCCGCGAATAAGCAATAAGCACTAACTAAGCTTTTCTGTCAAGATCACCAAAGCCCCTCGGTAAATTTGCGGTAGCTGTTGGATCATCTCACCTGGCGTCTGACGCTACAGCTTTACGAAGGGGCGGGACCCACTCGGTAGCAGGAACAACACTGAACAACGCCAACAGCAGGTAAGATCGGCATTTTAGCGACAACGGCCCCTAAGAAGTTTCTAAGAATACCCATTTCCCTCTGTTCAAAAGCAGGAACGAATCTAAACACCTCTCTCTACTTCTACCTCCGGGGCCCTCATCCTTTCAGTTCCCCAAATTCAATTCGGTTTAGAACTTTCAGTTACCCATTGCCAAAGTCAACAATTATCAGCATAATTGTTCGTTAGGAGGTCATGGTAGATAATATCTACTAGTTTTCCATTGAATTTTCTCGGTTTCATCGCTTTGATCGTTTTTCTTGAGCCCAGTTAACATTCCTGAAATACATAGATCCACCTCCCAACGACCAAATAGTTTGTCTCGTACCTTGAAATCGTTGATTCTGCTCCCAATGCTATTATTGAACTATCTCCCAATGTTCTTCTGCTGACATAGGGCGCGAGTACGACGTTGACCAGCATCAAAGTTCCTAAGGGGAGCCATAACCGAACTACATAACTGATTGACGACCGTCTTAATCGCGATCAGCTGACGCGCCACCTACCCTAACACTGACCAACTTATTGTATATGATGGCAGATAAAGGTGCTAACTTGCCGTGGTTCTTCCCACGTACCAAGATGCGCATATCATTCTCCCTGGCTAAAGCGGGTCATATCTCTCTGGTGGGTCCGGATAAATAATTTAATCCATTAAATCCAATTATCTCCGACAGCAACCAAGTTCCACTTATTTCACCCCTTCGTTCCGCAACTTCCAACTTGTCAACAATTCAACGATGGAGCACTCAACCCTGGCACCGTTCTGGGGCCCGCAGACCTCTTACCTCAAGTATGTCCTGAATTTTCTTGCGATCTGTTGAGAGTGCCAGTGACTTATGATCGATTCCAGCTTTTGCGAAGAAGTACGTACTGCAACGCAACCCCAGTAAACCCGGTCTAACGGCCGGTTCTTCATAGGACTATGTAGTCACCCGGTACATCGCGGAGTTTATCAATACCCTGAGCAGCTTCGTATACAGTGCGTTAGTTAAGGCCTAGCCGTAAAGCCTGTAATTGACCTCTTTCTCCAGTTGTTTACGGGATCTATGGCCTGTCCAAGCTTCGTCATAAGCCGCACGCCGGCTCCCGCTCGATTCCGTATTTTGGGTTGATGGGAGTAGGCGTCTGCTCGGCAGGCTACCATATGACCCTGAAATACCACACCCAAATGTGTATGTCTCGCTCCATATCCTCAGTTGCTCCGATCGTCTTTCTCACGTGGCTGAACCCCAGCGGATGAATTGTCCATGCATCTGTTGACAACGCCCCTCCTGTATCGCATTCTCTCTTTCCAGACCAGCCCAGAGCACACCCGGATGGTGGGCATTGTTCTCTCTATTCTGTTCACCATCGTGATGGTCGTCCACATGGTGATGGATGAATTCCTCCTCCACGCTGTCACCTTCGGTATGGCAGTCTATTTGATCGCAACACGTACGCTCAAGATCATTCCCCGACAAATCCCCGATCCGGTAACCCGGAAGAACATTCAAAGCGTAGCGCTCTTTGGATGCGGTAAGCCATTTAGCCAGCGAAACGTTTGGGCAACTGTTGACCCATTCCAGCGAGCTTTATCTTCGGTTACCTGGTGTGGTTGATTGACGACTGGGCCTGTCGGATTTTGACCAGCACAAGACAAGCTGTTGGGTTGCCTTTAGCGTTCTTGTTCGAATTGCATGGATGGTATGCACGTACTTCTTTCTCATTTTTTCTCCTTGCTCAACTGGAACTCCCGGGACTCGCACCGCTGACAATAAGAATACAGGTGGCATGTCTTCACTGCCATTGGCGGCTATATTGCTGTTGCGATTATTGACCTCTTGACATCTGGCGAAGTGGACAAGGACTCCACTGAACGCCTGGCCTGGCCCCTTCCTGTTGTCGCGAGGTTGGTGGCAACAAGAAGTAGCTCAACCCAGAAGAAGGGTAATTAGTCGATTAGAGGCTACCGGTGTTAGATGAGGATATGCAAGCCTGTCAAGGAAGAATACGATATGTAAATCCCATGGTGAGGAGAGGGTACAGCCAGCTGAACACTGTATTATTTAGAAATTCCAGACACTGATTGTTTGGATTAAAGGAATGTACTATAACCACAATTTGAAAGAGAAGTAAGGTTTTGAAAAATTTGCTCTTTGTGCGGCTGGGAGCGGCCCTTGATATGTACTACATCTGTGTACCGCAGAACTTGCACAAACCTAGCGAGTATCTGATCTATGCAACATGCTACTCGCTTTAGTAAGTTACGCAGGTGCTACTAAGCTATAAGTCCGGTACTATAACTGGAGGGTGCGTTTTGATAACTCTATGGAGTCTGTTCGTGCAACCGACGACGCCCCGACAAAGGTAGTTTACACTGTCATAGATCTTCCGTTTGATTTAAACTTAGTTTTTAGGGTATTGATTCATTGTTCCAGGGTGAGACTCTTCGTGGCGTTCCATAGGATTCGAATATTTCCTAGACACTAAATTGTTGCCCGGTGCCCCAGGGTGGTTTGACAAACAAGAGAGGCATTTCTTCATTTATAATTGTATCAGAGGTGAAAGACAAAAGCTTAGAGGTGGGTGCTTCTCCTATCTAGCATTATAATGATATTATATCTGATTTCATAAATAGCATGCGCGGGTCCCAGGAAAGCATGCTCCCAACGATTTATATTTTTCCTCTGTTGGCTTGGTTTCCATTTTCCCTTCCCAACCCCCAAAAATGTATTTATTTTTGATTGTGCTTTTGCACCTCTCAGTCTTCGTTTCTAGCCAAGGCCTACCCCAGCCTGATTCAAAGAAACTCGATACAAACGACATCCACGTAAGATGCGAGCCGCTTAAGATAATCAACGACGAGAGGCGCAGAATTCCTCCCCCCAATCAGCAGCGTCCCGGTCGAGCTTATTCCGACGCGGGATCGGAAGATACGATAATAGTCACACCGCAAATGAGACAGGGAACGCCTGAGACTGTGAATCTCCGACTCCCGGGAGAACCAGTGACACCACGGACACCAGGAGGGCCATGGACGCAAGGATCGCCAGGATCGCCTACACTGCGCAGTCCCCGACGACGCAGTCCAATGCCAGAGCCGCCAAAACCATACTTATTTGGAAAATGTGGCGGACGCGATACAGCAATTGCTTTGGACTCTTGTCTTGGGTGGGATCCACGGAACGGAGGGACCATAATTGCCCAAAAGAAGTATGTATCGTTCTTAGCTACGGTTGGTTATTTCTGTCCGACGGCAACTGATAGTTCTTAGTGGCCAAGGAATGACAAAGGGTGACTGTCATAGCTGTCAATACTACAAAACTGGGGATGATGGGTCTTTCTTGATCACCTGTCTTTGCCAAATGACTCCACAAGCAGAGCAAATTTCTGGTATGGATGATCCACGGCTAAGGATGTTCCACCAACGTAAGTATTTCACAGATCACTGAGTGCTTTTTTACTAACAGATGCTAGCTGGTGTGATAACCATTGACAAGAATAATCGCTTCCGCTGTTTTGGTATCACTGGACTTTGAGGATTTGGAGAAACTGGCGTATAGTCCTGTGCATAGATCACTAGTTGTCTGATAAATACTTATCTAATCCAGCATACGAGTGTACAGTGGATATGAAGTAAAACAGAGACTAAGCTCCCAGTGGTAATGACTTAAGGTGATCTAGTGCTGCACTATTGCGGTAAATAATCTACGCGTGGTTTGTTGGGCATTTCATCCTGCGCTATGTCGAGTTCACACCTCTGGGATGACATATTGCACGAGCAGGTACAGTTGCCAAGAACAGGCTTTCATTGCTTTGTTTTTATCTTAAATGGATTCGTAAAAATCCCGGTCCACTCTCTTGGTTCTAGACTATCTTCTATCGGAAATACAGATTCATTTACTGTTCTCCTCCGTAGCTGTTGCCCAGTGCCCCATCCGAAAGGACAGTACACGCACACATATCGCGTCTTGGTTTTCTATTTCATTGTTGACATTAAAAGGAAGTTTAACGGGGTCCGCTTACCAAATAACTATGGCAATCAAGGCCAGAAATGCCGCTTTGCACATAGCTACCATTTGACAAGTAAATGAGTACAGCTTTCAACTTATTGAAAAGAGACTCCATGGATGTTACCCACACCATGCCAGAGATACAACATCCAGTCAACATTCTCATCACGCTCGAAACAAACCTACCGATGGATCGTATACTTAACGCAGCAAAAGCGACACTGGTCCAGACTCCAGACTGGTGGCCGCCGTAAAGTGATCAAACCTGCCGTCCAGGCGAACATCAAAGCACCCATCGACCAGCAGGCGATGTCCTGGGGTATAAGCATCGAGACCGTCTTCCGGTCGATAACCGCATCGCTAGAGCGATCACGGAAGTCTTGAGTTTGGCTGTATATGGCCGTATCTGGAATCAGAGATTGAGAGAGATGCAGCGTGGTGTGCAGACTCACGGTTGTTCCAAATAGGGCAGCTGCCACAAATACACCAAAGCAGTTTAATGGAGGCATTGCAGCACCATGATCTTCACCTTTTGATAGCATGGCTCAGATAAAGGGGGCCTTTTTCCGTACGTGTTCCTTCAGGTACTATCTCTGAGATGCTACTGGGTACTTATCAAGGCATTTCCGCCCCTCAACTATCCAACTAGCTTCTAGATGTGACACTAGGTTAACATGTGCGTTAGTGCTTATGAATGCAATATGTCAGAGGATAGTCCATATTAGACCCTGCAAATTTTATTGAATCTTTCCGGAGAATAATTCTAACCTTGCCTTTCACAGCACTGCCCTTATTATTGCTCATTCCACACATCTTTGCCAGCCACTTGACGGTAGGCTATTTCCGAGCTATAATCTAAGATCTCCACTGAACACCGTAGCGACACCTTCCCACTGGCCACTCTTAGTACAGATCCAGAAAAAGTCTGTTCAAGAATCCAGCGCAATCCTCGCCTCAGTCCCCCAACTATCCTCCAAGATAACCGAAATACAATGATTAATATGAGTCTCGCTATCAAAGCTCGGCTCTATAATACCGCCGTGCACCTCCCTAAACCGGACACGGAACTGCTTTCTCCAATAGAAAAGACAATGTACCACATGCCACTCCCGTGTCATCGTCACCTTCGCACTCTGGTTATCTCCAAGGGCTGCGACCTCCTCGAGGGTCATCGGTATCTTGTGGTAGTCGTCGGCAAAATAGTCCCAGCTTCCATCCGGCCCAGGACCCGATCTCTCGAACTCGGCTGTTAATTCGTCATCGCGGCAGTAGGGGGGCAACCAGGCTGCTGCTAGAGAGTCGAATTTGCAGCCAAGGGATATCGCCTCAGCTGTTGAGTTGCCGCAATAACAGTGCTTTCGTGGTGCGTTGCGGCGTGCTGCGAGAACAATATTGTGAGCGATGCTGATTAAGCCCCATAGAGCGAGCAGGCAGATGAGGATATCTCGAGCGATGCGAGTTTTAGGAGATGATAGTAGTCGCTTAGTTCCTCTGACGAAGATATTTCGATCGGCTTTGGATTGTTCTGTATTGCTACTTTGTAGCAAGGTCTCGTCCTCGTGGGCGTCTTTGGATGTGGATAGCTCCGGATCTGAAGCGTTGCTGTCGACCCTATTTCAGGACATAAGCATTTGAATATGTCGCTACTGAGTGCTTATTACCTTTCGTACTCGAAGCCCATTTTCGAAGGCCACGACTTTCGCCGGAGAAGTGAAGTATAGAGATTTCCAAGGCTCCTATACAACAAAGAAAGCGAAGGCAAAGAACACCCGTTCTGTTTTAAAGATACGCCGCTCTACAGGTCTTCCTTAGGACTGCAACAGCAGAGAGCCGTACTCAGTACCGATATTAGCCAACAGATAAGCCAAACCGGACAAAAGGGCTTCCCCTCAGTCCAGCGTATCCTCTTTTCCCTCTTTTGTTATCGTAAGCGCGCTCTTCGGCTACTCTCGATGACTAGCTCTTGGGCTTTATCATCCACCATTCATTAATGCGAGACCCTTGTCAGTCCCACCTTAATAATATATTTGGAATAGAGATATAGTCTATAATAGGTTTAGAGCACGTCATCATTGATTTGGATGAGCCCAGAATCTGTACTCTATCTGCGCCGCATCCATTTTAGTACAAGCATGTATTCCTGTTTCGTACACCTGCATTTGGCTCTTAGTATATCTTGCCTTGGTGGCTATACAAGCTCCTCTTTGAGATTCTTGCATATCTTATTTGTGAGATTATTTACTTGTTCCTACCTAGTACAGCTGTGCGTATATCCTTTTCAGTGAAGTTACATTATCACAGACACACTAGATCACATCCTTGTCAAAAATATGCCTAGCAGGGATTGATCCATTCCAAAGTACTACCCCTCATTCTCTAAGTAAGAAAGAGGGGTATTTCAAATGATCTCTGATTCACCTAGAACATACAGTAGTTCCGCCAGACTCGCTGGACAAGAGGCCCGGAAGGTCCGGATTTCCATCCGAGGAACTACACTAAGCAGGGATGTCGGATACTGGGACGGCGACAACTAGAGTATATACATAGTCCTCACTATTCCTTGAAAATCTCCAATCCGAAATCTATTTCTCTCTAAGTCAATTACTATTGCTATATCCCTTCAGTTGAGCAAAAACCATGAAGCTCTCTTCTACTCTCCTCCAAGGCATCACTATCTTCGCCGCCTTCGCATCGGCGATCCCTCTGTCTGTCCGCTCACCAGACGACGGTTCGATCCGAATCCCCGTTAAGGGCGTTCCGGAGCCTGAGAAACGCGATGACGGCGCCATCCGCATTCCCGTAAAGGGTGTCCCTGAGCCGGAGAAACGGGATGATGGCGCTATCAGGATCCCCGTGAAGGGGGTTCCCGCGCCACCCGCGGAGGAATAGGAAGTTCTGGTGAGTGCAATACCCGCTTTCGGGGGTCAGTGTCTTGAAGGGTCATTGTTACACTTGGGGCTGTTCGTGCTAAGGTTGTGTAGCTGTCGTTCTGGGTCAGAGTTGCCCATCTGTGTGACTTGCAGACTACATCCATACGGAGTCCGGGTTTGTTAGGGATGAAGCTGGCTGTCTAGGTTCAATTTTAATTGAGATACGGGGTCGTGGCAAAATATACTGTACTACGCTACCTTTAAAGGCAAGCTGATGTGTTAGCAAGGACAGATAGAAACAGGCAGCTGAATACTCGTGCTCATCTTGACCTATGATTCCGACCAGTAGGAAAACAGAGCGAACCATAGCTATCAGTAGGAGGCAAATGATATTAAAAAATCACCACCAGTAGCCTAGGTCTCGGGGTAAGATATGATTTACGTAGTAGACAATCGGAAAGCACTTGGTGGTACCCACTTAGGAGAGTATACTTAGGATTAGATGATCACCTATGTGATTGCCCTGCATTCCACTGCGCGTCGTGCAGCAAATACTACGTACGATGTGCTCACTGCAGCTAAGAGGGAACTTCGGAATAATACCCATCAATGGAATCATCCATATCAGTCCACTTATGCTTGCCAATACTGCCCCATGTGTGGTGCCCTTGTTTAGATTGGACAATATAAGCGCCGAGTTCAGAGCTAGCGGGACCAGATGGTGGCGGGGTATTTGACAGCAGTAATGCTATCACACGGCCTAGGCATGGCCATTCGTTTTCATACAACGGTCACTACGCCACATTACGTCTCGTCGCGTAGCATAGTGCTGTTGGTAATTCCAGAGCGTAGACATTTCTTGAATTCATTTAGCAATGATACACTGTCTACACCCCACCCTTAGAATACTGGTCTGTTGCATATTCAATTGCTAGAAATTGTAATGAGCTCAAGTGGAGGTCCATTAGATATCAACGCGGATCATATTATGGTAATAGCAACTTAATTAAAGTACATCACAGATGAAAACATCGCCAGCGCAAATTCATCTCGAAAAAGACAGGAGGGGTACTATTTCGCTTGAATCATTAACATCTCTCGTGACAAAGCCCGTGCTACCATCTTAGAAATGGCGCTGGGTGCCAACGTTGCGGCGGTTATCCAAATCGGAGTCGACGCGAGGGTCAAGCTTGTTAGCAATGTCGGAGCTATGGGGCCCCGCAGTGGCGCTACCACCGGTGGTGTTGTAGCTGCTGCTGGCAAGATTCTGGTGGCGGGCACGGTTGTCCAGGTCGGAGTCAACACGAGGATCGGCCTTGTTGGCGAGGTCGGAGCTGTGAGGTCCAGCGGTGGAGGTAGTAGTGCCGTGGTGGCCAATACCAGTGCCAGTGCCAATACCAGTGCCAGTGCCGTAACCGTGGTTGGTTCCAGAGGCGTAGGCACCAGGGGTACCAATGGCTCCAGTGGCTCCAAGACCGGCGGCGCGGTTGTCTAATGATGTGTTAGTCCTGTGATCTGATAATCCTGTGGGGAATGAGAAGCCACTTACCTCGGTCACTGTCAACACGGGGTCCGACCTTGTTGGCCAGGTCGGACGAGTGAGGGCCATGAGCACCGCCCAGAGCTTCGTGACGGGCGCGGTTGTCTCTGTCGGAGTCTACGCGGGGATCAACCTTATTGGCGATATTGGAGCTGTGCGGGCCAGCATTGGTAGAGTGGGAACCAGTATGTCCAGTAGTGCCGAATGGGGCGTCTACGCCGCCAGCGGCGCCAACAGGAGCTTGCTGAGGACCATGAGTGCTGGAGTGGGTGGTAGTCGCGCCACCGGGGCCGGTGGTTGTGGTAGTGTGATGACCAGCGCGGTTGTCTATCAAAGGTGGTCAGTCTTCTGGCAATACAGCTATGTTGAGGGGCTAAAGTTGACTTACCACGGTCGCTATCGACACGAGGGTCAAGCTTGTTAGCGATGTTGGAGCTGTGAGGGCCGTGGTTGGAGGACTTGTAGTTCTCGGTGGCATTGGCAGTATTGGTGGTACCGGTGCTGGTGTTGGAGGTCGAGTCGTGATGGCCAGTAACAGCCTCCTTAACCTTGTGCAACATTCCAGACATTGTGTGTGATTTGATGATGGTATTCAGTTGAAAGACGAGTGTTCGCTGTGGTGTTGTGTTATTTTGTAGTAGTATCAAGATGATTTGTAGTCTGTTGGTATCTCTGATGGAACTCAGTCAGGCTGGGGTGAGTCGTAGCTTATATACCTTCTCTTCCCTGTTCCTGGAGGCGGGTTCTACACCCATATGACGTAGGATGATTGTAGCTTGTCCGGGGTAACCATGAATAAGGTGAATCTAGGGCATTGTTTCAAATGATACTTGATTTGATCATACCGTCTTGGATGTGGGGCGGGTGTGGCGCTCGGGCTGCTCTGTGGCTGGTGGGGCCGCCCTATGACGCCATCCCTCATTTCCCACGTCTTCATACAAGCTTCATGATCCCGAACAGGTTTTGCGCACTACATGGCTGAGGTCATTGGCTTTTGTGTACCTTGGTTTCAGCATATCTCACGAAACTGCTGGGTTCTTCAGCCGTCAATGGAATTACAACATGCAGAGCATGTCCAATCAGGCAGCACTATTCTACACTACATTACACAGGCTGTCCACGTCCTCCTCTAGGCAGTACCGTGTGTACCTCAGAGCTTCACTGTCCTATTGAAGGTGAAGGACTGTCAACATGTCGGGAACATGTTACACATCATCCGTCATGGTTCGCAACGTCGCATACCTTCTCAACGCTCTCATGAACCGTGACCAGGGGCAACTCAGTACCGTTGTCGATGGCTATTATTAGTCTCTCAAACGGAGTCAAACACCTCCCTGAGGTTCACTTTGTTGTAATCCTTGGTCGATCAATTGCTGATCATGACCTCAGGCCATACCAGTCTGCGCTTACCATCCTCATTGCAGCCACGATCGTCACAGAACGGTCGAGGCTTTGAGCTTTGGCCGTTTATGTAGGTTTCGAAGACCTGATTCCCAAGTTAATGCAAAAGCTTGCGCTCGTATCTGTACTTGGCACTTATCGATTGAAGGGCTCAATTGTGCTCTGGGCTCCGGAATAGCTATGTTCCGGATATCAAGCCTGCGAGATATGATGTCATATGCCACGAGTGGCTGAAAGCTTCATCAGCCCTAAGTCCCTAGAAGGATTCAAGGACATTATTATATGATCGCCACAGTAACTATACTGAAAGCGTGACGGTAAAAGCAATTGTATGGTTCTATACTCAATTCGCCAATGCCTATGTTGGTCCAAGTACTCACCCCCGTTTCACCTTCACCTGTTCTGCATAAGAACTAGTCGCATAGCCTCGGCCTTGCTAACTGTAGAGCAGCAGAGCTTAAGGCTGAAAACGGATGGTTCTTTGGGAATCTCCGTCTTTTGATCTATGCTTGGGTCAATTTGAAAGCGATTCATGTCAATTAATTCAATGCAACCGCTATTTACCATCAACCCTGTGATAGAAATATCAGTTTCCCATTACATCCGTTCTACATGAGGCTCCAAACCTGCTTTGACAGTGAATACTAATCTCTCTCAAACTCTCCTTAGGAGCTTGAGGCAATACTATTGGCCATCCTGGTGAACGGGCCTAGGTACCAGTATGTCTTCATCGGCCGCTTAGATGGAGTAATAACACATTGAAAATCGTTCGCAAATGGGCTTGTTTTGGCAGCACTCATGGAGTACCACATATAGAAAGCAAGATGCAATACAATTCATTTCGTGGCTTTATTAGTCACATAATATAAGTCTATCGATATTCCAGTTCTACACAGGATCGACATACCAGTAAGACCGCTAAAGCCCCAGTTTCACTATACACAGAACCTACTTTCGCTCTATACATCATAGACACTCAAGTCTAGTTGTTTGGTAATATTGACGACAAGTAATGTACTCCTTGATGATTTATCCAGACCAACTGCCAGTAGATTACTTTGTAGGGTATCAATATAGAAACATGGGAATGTACTGACTTAATCAATCAATCTATCTTTGTTGAGTATGGTATGGTCTCACGATTTCACCTACATATCTTGAAACAAAGGATTCCTACTTATATATTGACAACATTCCACTGGCTCGGGTTGATCTCAGGCTGGTCTCATAATCATGAGTCCACGGGGCTGGTTGTGAGCCTATCTCCACGCCATATGACTGTATGTGCTACATTTCAGTAAAACGATCATCTAAATTTAAGTAAGCTTGGCGCAATGTCTCTCAATTGAACGAAGCTGCTTCAGCGACAGTGACATAAAGCGCTGAACTCATGAAAGATCAGTTCAATTATCTTCTGAAATACGAATCTCGGCAATGCTTCGTACCCAATTTCCACCCCATCAAGCACAGACATCTGTATGATCACGCAATCGATTTAACACACTCTTCATTCAAGCTTCACACATATTGCTAGATAGAATTAACGAATGCTTACTAGGCCATAATAAACCTAGCGATCATCAAGCCCAGGGCGAGAACAAGTTCGACGACGAATTGCGTTCAACTCGGTAGCTCCTTGGCAGCCGGCGGGTACCAAATCGGGTAAGAATCGACAGAATCTCGTTAAATCGACGTGTCATGACTGAGTTTCTGCTGTCGTAGCCGAAAGGATATTGCAGGAAGTCAATGTATTCTATATGGCCTTCGGGACAGGTGCGGGGCAGGATCACGCAAGAACCGGCAACGGTGCCATCATCAATCGCTACTATAAAAAAACGCTGTATACCCGAACCACATCAACTTCCTTTTCTTTTAACGACTCACACACGGACAACCCTTGAACAGGTCACAATATTAGGATATTGGATCTAGACATTTACTCAGTGCAGAGGCTTTACCAAAGGTTAATGTACCCATCCTTGAACAACATGGATCGACCCGAGGCTGATCATTGTGCTCTCAGCACGCATCATGCGCTCGCTCTGGCTTACTGCGTTGCTGCCCCTTGCGGCAGCCGACTGGCAATTCAAGTCGCGCCCTGATCTAGCGCCTCCCAGACTAAACATCACCATTCCGGCAGCGCCGGATGTTGAAAAAGGATATCTCTTTGTTGCTCCCTTCGCCGGCTTCGCTGATGAGGCCGGAGAAATGCATGGCCCTCGTCAGGCAGCTCCCTACATCTTCCGTGATGACGGAGAGTTAGTTTGGTCGGGTTATGGGTATTACTCGATCTGGGCGACGAACTTCCAAAAGGCACGCTGGAAGGGCAAGGACATCCTCTTCAGCTTTGAAGGAGATCACAATGCGGGCTACGGCCATGGTCATGGGCATACGACTATCCTGGACCAGCATTACGAGACCATTCGTGAGCTGCGTGCCGGGAACCACAAACTGACTGACAAGCACGAATTCCACATCATCAACGAGGAAACCGCTCTCATTCAAATTTATCAGCCCGTCCCGAAGGATCTCACTCGATGGGGTGCAAGCCCTGAGCAACAGTGGATTGTCGATGCTATCATCCAAGGTAACCACCAGCGTCCCATGTCCATTGAGCGTAAAACTAAACCTGGCATAGAGCTCGACATAGAAACTGGGGAGCTTCTCTTCGAGTGGTCTAGTTTGGATCATGTGCTTCCTGATGGTGAGTGCTGTCACTGCTATGTCTGTCTTTCAAGTAGGACAAGTAATTAAAATACTACAGAGGCCATCCTACCCATCAATCCCGGCCAAGCCGGCTCCGGTTACAACTCGTCGGATGCGTGGGATTACTTCCACATCAACTCCGTCGACAAAGATTCTGAGGGTAACTATCTCATTTCCGCTCGCGACGCCTGCGCAGTCCACAAAATCAACGGCTCTACTGGCGAGATTATCTGGCGCCTTGGTGGTGTCAAGTCCGACTTCGATCTTGGGCCCAATGTAAAATTCTGCTTCCAGCATCACGCGCGCTTTGTCTCTCGGGACGGTGATAAAGAGGTCATCTCACTATATGACAACTCTGCTCACGGAACCGAGAATGGCCGTGGTAGTGAAGTCCACACTCATCCTTTCTCCCAAGGCAAAATCATCGAGGTCAACACCGCTATCTGGAAGGCTTCGATTGTCCAAGCATTCCAGCCTCCAGATGGCCTCTTGTCCAAATCTCAGGGGAGCACCCAACTCCTCCCCAACGGCAATGTTCTCGTTAATTGGGGATCCGAAGGTGCCCTCACCGAGTTTCGTCCTGACGGTACCCCTATCTTCCATACATACATGGACTCGGGCCTCTTGGGTTTAGGCGTTGAGAACTACCGTGGCTTCCGGTATAACTGGACCGGTCTTCCCAACGAGACGCCTGCCATTGTTTCTCTCGAGAATGATCAGGGTACCACTGTGTACGTTTCCTGGAATGGAGATACCGAAACCAAGGTCTGGCGCTTTTACCAAGTCACAGATGAATATGGCTCACGGCAATACCTTGGTGAAACCAAACGTACTGGTTTCGAGACTTCATTTGCCCTCAAGGCTGGCACTGTTCATACGGTGGCTGCCGAAGCTATCGGAGCTAATGGTCGTGTCCTGACTTCCACCGGTATTGTGAAGACACAGGCTGAGATCTTGCCTCCTGTCAAAGGAGCTGAGGCGCCGTCGTCCATTTCGCTTTCGGATAAGATGCAGCAGCCTCAGGTCTACTTGGGTCAAACGAGTCGCTGGGAGGAGCACATGATTCTGAAGGTCGATCGCTTTCATCTCGATTCAACAACCAGTCCATAACGCTCTCCTAAGTCACTCTTCGGGAGCATGATTCTCCACCCGCCATACATCATAGTCCTTGCTGTCCGATAAGGCATACTTATGCTTTCAGTGCCTAGTTGCTATCCAATAGGTATATAAAACAGCTTTACTATGAACCAAATCGTCTATCAAGTAGAACCAGTAATAGAGTCTTCGGCACACCCCACAAACAACTCCCATCCCAAGCACGCCCCAAGAATCAGCAATAGGCTGTCAAGGGGTCAGGTACTTGCTTCTAAAAATTGCAACTAGCCATAAAACACAAAGGCGAGAGTAAGTCCCCGCCTGATGTTCACTTATCTCCCAGGTTCCTCAAGTCCCGTGGCATCCGGGTAGCTTGGTGGCTCGCCTGTCATGACGACCTTAAAAGATGGATTTATACCCGACGGCGTCCATGCGGCTCGTAGCATGTCCAGGTAGCCCCTGTTTTGCATAGTCTTCAGGCAGAGTCTGAGCCAGCTTCGGGCTATCAATATCACAGAACTGCCGTGTATTCCCGTAACTCCGATCGGCCACTTCTTCAATTTAGCTCTATTCAGTCCCTTTGTTGTCGATATTACCTGACAAATGAGATACAAGGAATCCTCCTAGGCTCATGCCCAATGGGAACAGAAGTCACACCATGCAATGTGAATAAGGTTTTCATCGCACCTTCGCCTCACAACAGGACATGCCCGTCAAGACAGGAAATAAACCTTGTCCGGATTGACCTTCCAGTCATCAGGATACCGCTGCGTGCAATTCAGAATAGCCTGATAATCCAGCCCGTCGATATCCTCAACTGCTGGATCAGCACCACGTTGGCACAGAAGCTGACATATTTTCACCTTCCGGTTTCGTGCCGCCTTGTGTAGAGGTGTCTCAAAGAGAAAAGCATCCTGCGCATCGATCGAGGCGTTCCAATCCAGGAGTATATTGATACCTTCCAACCAGCCCATAGCGGCAGCAAGATGCAAAGGAGTGTTATCTTCGAACATGCCGATATCGGGATCAGCGCCGTTCTGGAGTAGTAATTTCATGAATTCAGTATTGCGGTTGCAGACAGCACTGTGTAAGGGCGCCTTTCGATCGCCTTTGAGATCAACATTGACGTCCAGTAACGGCTTGTAGTCCAGGAGGACCTTCAGAAGTTCGGTGTGATTGTGATGCGCCGCTTCACTCACAGCACACCAGCCCTATACGGAGGTCAGATGCATCAAACGTTTGGGGGGAGAGTCACGTACATGATGGAAAGTTCTGAAGTTCACATCCGCGCCTCTATCCAAGAGGATTCTGGCTGACTTGCAATCACCTTGTATGCACACAAATTGCAGTGCCGGTCGGCCTGCACTAGTGGCCGCATTTGGATTTGCCCCATGGTCCAGCAAGAGCTTAATGATCTCCCCCTTGGCTGAGGCCCCCGAGTCCGCTGCCCAGTGCAGTGGGGTGCGTCCGCCAATGAAAGTAGGGCCCTTACTGTCTGCACAGCTACGGGTGTACTGGCGAATGTCGACTCGGGCACCGTGGTCCAGAAGAAACTTCGTCATGTTTACATTACCCAACTCAGCGGCGAATGACAGTGCGGTGCGGCCATCTCGAGGCCGCCGGGTGTTGATATCAACACAATCCAGCAAGAGCTCCACAAGGCGAATGGAGCCGCGTTTAACGACTTCAAAGAGCTCCTGCGCGAGCTCAGGATCGACCGGCTTGGGCGTCGCCGGTCGCGATGGAGTTTGAGTCGGGGAAGTAGTGCTTGTGTTGCTTACTGACAGGCTCTGGGAGTGGACCGTTGTCGCCCAGCGGACTATTGCTGATCCTGCGTCGTCATCGAATGGACATCTATTCGAACCGACAGCAGGAGCCGAGTCATCAGGCCCGGCAGATATCCCTGATATCCTCAGAGTAACAAGCCTATCAACTGTCAGGCTGGAACTCGTATAGTGAGCGATGCGATTGAAAGACGTACAGTGTGAGAGTGCCCATGGCGTCAGAAAAGAGCTGTTTTGTGCGTTGTAGCTCAGACACCCGCAGGAACACATCTTTTCGCTTGAAGAGCCATGCTACCCTATTAATCGATCCCATCAACGGTAGGGGCTCGGCGATTGCACTACTATCTCCATCCTTGCCCTCAATTGAGGCTTTGTCCGGTTTTTCATTCCGGATGCACGAGCTCAGGTATTCTTTTATTTGTTGGCACGTCTTCTCGCATCTTTTAATGAGGCCTTGAAGGCCATCCATGACCTTCCGAATTTCAGAGTCTTTGTCCACGGCATTTTGTGTCTGGGGAGACTCCAAAGATCGTTGCAGGTTGGACAGAAGAGTGCTCAGAGCCTCTACGTCATCTCCAAGAACACAGAGCTCGCGCGGGGCATCTCGAATTGTCACGATGATTTCGTAAAGCTGCAAAGACGCCTTGGCGGCTGTCCCAGATAGTTGTAATATCGCAGATGCTGTCCCAATACCTTCCATCTTTATTCACAACTTGAGCTTGGGAAAAACATTTAAAAGCAACCGTGATGGTTTGCCAGACGCGGTCGATATATTGGGGTGCTGGCCGCGGAGCAACGAGGCTGTGGCTAGCTGAAGCTCAGCCTCGTGCTGCTGTGCCAATAGCGAGGCTCGGGCTTGGTTGTCTGTGGAGCAGTAGGCACTGTTATTCCTGACTCATCGCTCCTCTGGCACTAAATCAGGTAGCTCACATTTTGGTGTGCAGAGAAGTCCTGGTCTTGACGCTAGCTCGTTGGTGACGATCGCCGGGTAATATTTCCGTCTACCCTAGTAGTCTCTTAGGTCATCGCCTCAATTGCTGCAGATCTATGAGAAAAGGAAAATATATAGTCTATTTCAATTTCCAGCGACCGCATCCTATGGACATCATTTGCCTCCTGAACCTGCTAACGAATCCTATCTCAAACACTGCTAAGGTAGCTGAGATCTACTAACCCTACAGGGCCCTATTGATCCATTTAGACCACTTGAGGCATATTCAGATTAATTGAGTCAACTGAGAGGAATAGGGGATGAACCATCCCTGTGGACTATATCAGAAAAGGGAAGATAGCAATGGCTCGAGACGAGAAATCTCAGTATGTGCATTAAATAAAGCCCATCACAAACCTTAGGATGAAAAGACTATTAAGAATCATCCGAGAACCAACTCACTTCGTCACGCGGACCCCTGATCTGCTCAATACGGTCTTCATCGAAGGTACACACCCCAGCGTGCCCATTGTTTCCCACAGCTTGATGTTTCCGGCTCCCTAGGCTACTCGCCTTTCCGTTCGAGGTCAATTCGACCCATTCCGCTGCCGGAGGGTGCAACGGCTTGCCGTCCGAGAATACCAACCAAGAGCTGTCCTTCTCCAACCGCGCATATTCGATGCGTTTCGTCCGAAAGGGCTTGAAAACAACTTTCAAAACACGTATTGCGCAGATCAGCTCTCCCTGCGCTGGGTAGCTATTCTCACTATTCATGTAGCAAACCGAAGAACTTCCTTCTAACGTGGCAAGTCCCTCCAGCAGGTACACATCCACTTTATCCGCAATCCGTTGTTGCAGCCATTTTCGCACGCCCTTTTCTCCCTTGAGATTATGGAAAAGCTCCCTCGGATTTTTGAGTGTGTATATCTTGCCGCCTGTTGGAGGCATATCGTTGCTACCCACAGAGCTGTCACTGGGTTTCTTGAATAGGCGGGAAACCGAAGCAGAGAGCCCTGGTTCTTTTGTGGGCTGAGTAACAGCATACATGTCGGGTACAGATCTGACCGCATAGTCCTCGATTCTCCCGAGAGGCCAGGGGCACCCTTGGGCGCCCAGTTTGGGCTCCTTAATGCTGGTGATCAGGCTGCCTACAGTGACCTCTGCACTTGAGACGAATGGGGCCCTCGGTATGCGCTTGGCTGGCATTTTGGTGTTCGGGTGGGATTCTTTTCGTCGAAGGGTGGGTATCTAAACTCTTTCTCAATGAGGAACTGGGTTGTTCGGTAGGCTGTTTTGCTTCACGTCTTTTGGTTTATCCATGTTGGAGAGATCTAGCAAGATGCTCTAGGAAAGAGCCTTTTATAAGGCCAAGCCCTTATGCAAAGACTCGCCCATTTTCACAAACCCATTCATGGAGCTGCCTTGAACAAACGCCGAGTCGTCACACCACGTACTTGGTATACTCGGTAACCGCCAACATGACCTTGACGAAGCTTTGTCTTTGTTTGGTTTTCTTGGTAGCGGAAGATAATACAAGGACATTAAGTATCCTTATGAGGACAGCACAGCCAGCTATGCATCCTGCTGTATTTCGGTTACTTGTCCAGCGACGACGAGTTGGTCGGGGTGCATCGGATTTTAGTTTTGAGTGTATTCATAAGAAACTCTCTACGATATTTGAGGTGGCGGAGTAGGTCGATGCATAGCTACAACTCATTCGTTTGTTTGGTATGGATCTGTACTTTATTTCTATTTTTAATTCAATCTGTGAATGTTTGTTTTATTTTCTTCGGTACAAAAATACAGCAAAAGCAAAAAAGATGTAATTCTTTTTCGACGTACCAACGGTTATCTACCTATCAGGGCGGACGTAAAAACAGCAAAAAATGGACACGCCGGTAATCGAAACCGGGACCTCCTGAATGCAAATCAGGCGTTATACCACTAAACCACGCGCCCTCGATGAAATAACTGACTTATTATTTATTTTATCAATGGCAAGGTTCGATGTACAGCTAATCAAAGAATTCGTTCGATTGATCGCTTCAACATCACGTCTTTCTTCAAATGTTACGGTCACTGTTTTCAAATATTCCTGAATACAGTCGGATATGTAATGTGAAATCGCGACATTCTGACTCTGTATTCTGTACTATCGTTCGATCTAGTTTCGAATGCCATGTTGATAGATCATGTCTAGTAAGAAGCACCCAACTTTGCCGTGTCAACTACTACTACATGTCGTACAGTACGGGCAGCAAGTCCTATTATGGCACTAGCAAGGGCCTAGAGATGTGTCGCCATAGCTCCGAGAAAAGACAGATATAGGTCTCAAGGCCCGTAGTATAGACAGTGGAGGGTAAGGACACATGATCGGCCTCTGGATATGGGTATAGAGTGCATAAACCTTTACACTGTGGCTCGGTAGAGTTAAGCCTCCAAAGAAAGGACTGCGTATGTGTGGATATTCTCCGCTAGGGATATTGGACCCACCCGACAAAAGGAATTGCCCAATGATCACAGGGTGGTGTTTGTTTCGCTGAGGACAAAAAAAGCTGGTCCCAGAGAGGCTCGAACTCTCGACTTCTGAGTTATTAGCTCAGCACTCTAACCGACTGAGTTATGGGACCACTTGTTGAAAACCGGGCGGCATAAAGGCTACATGAAGCATAGGCTAAAAGCAGTAGGCTCCTACAGACAATCTCCAGCAGGTACTTCAACCTTCGGTCAAATCCGTCGGAAATTAGTATTTCTTTACTATCGAGTATTAGTTGAGGTGTTAGAGCGAAATCTGATGTCTTATATCCAGCGTCTGTGTAAGTATGATAGAGAGTGTTGTATCGATCAATTGCCGGTTTGTTCATCCTTCTTGCAGCTTGTAGTTATATATTTCTGACTGCAAGTATATCCCGTGCATACGAGAACCCGATGGTTTTCAACCATACTAGCAACGCAGGCCCCGAGCCAGAATTTTGATGAACATAGTCGTCTAAATATTTGTTAAAATGTTAAAATAAAAAGCTAAGCATAAGGAATCGGCTATATAGATTCAAAAAAAAAAATACACGTCGGACGCAAAAATCGTGGACTCGCCGGTAATCGAAACCGGGACCTCTCCAATGCGAATGGAGCGTTATACCACTAAACCACAAGCCCCTGTTTATTGGTTCCACTCTCGGATAAGCCCTACACGACCCACGGTTTCCGATGCCATATCTTCATCCGAGAGTCCCCGATCGCGACAGCGACTCTACTATACTCATCACAGGCCAGCCGGTCTTGCTTCCCCATCTTCGTGTCTCCTCGATTAATTCGTGAATTCTCCGTGAATCTTTCAACCATGGCCCGCCTGTTATAGTCAGCAATAAACCCAGCGGTCCGGTGCGTAACACTAACAGAACGAAATAGGGCCAAACGAATTGACCCACACGGGCGCAGAATTGCTGAAAATCGCAAGAGCCGAGACTTGAATTGCATGATGGTCGAGCTTTTTTTCAAAGTCATTAATTCGATCAATTTGCTGTAGTGTATTCATTGTTGTCTGCATCGGCTCAGCAACGCTCAGGATGGCCAGGGCCGTGTGGTAGTATTGCAGGCTCGAAGCTGATATCGTCAGCTCACATATTCCGTACATAAATGGGTACCATAAAGTGTCTATACCATGCCATCCGCTGACAGTCCATAAACATGGGAAGCTGCTTTGTCCGTAGAGGCCCGGAGTATCAATAGGCTCGAACGAGGCAGGTAGAGATGCACGCCATGTACCGAGCTCGCCGCTGAGTGAGTGCCACTCGTGATGCTCTAACGGCGACGCATCTTGATCGAGGCATCGGTTGATAACTTTCCCCAGTAAGTACGTTATCCTGTTGGCGTGGTCATCCTCGCCCTCGATTGTTGGAGGGAGTTGTTCATGAGAGAGCTCTATCATAAGACTTCGTTTTTCTATAAGCGCCACGGTAATATCTTCTCGGAGGTAATTCCAGAAGCCGGCGCTGAGTAACCCCGTTTCAAGCCCAGCAGGCCGACTTGCTAGCAAGGAGTATGATCCCTGAAGATGATTCTGACAACTGATATTTTCTACGCCAAGTTAACACACACTACTAACAGGATCAGGGAGATACGCACGGGATATGATCTCATAAGATCGCAGAAGACAAATAGCAGCAAGTGTCTCGCCGGTCCGGAATTCATCTGGATTTTCCGTCAGCTGTAGCAGTGCCTGAACACTCTCGAGGTGATACGACTCTGCCACGTCCCAGAGGTCTTTCTTAAGGAAGCTCGAGCTCTGGCTCGCCGCCGCAAAGGTAGAATGGCGCTGAGAAGAAGCGAGTTTTTCCGCGCACAAGAAGGGACTATGTCACCGAAATGTCTTTTCCTGTCGTTGAGGTCATACCATCCGGCCAGATGCTCGATGTAGTAACGGAAGATCGCGGCAATTTGGGGATCTCGGAGTGCCTTTTCAGGATCTTTCGTCGATACGTACTCGGCGGATCGCGCCCTGGTTGTTAAGCTTTGGTCTGGGGTAGTGGGCGATCTGGACTGTTGCTCTCTTGCTGAACGGTTGCTCCACTGGCAATCTCGAGAAGCTTTTTGGCAGCGAAGACACACGGGTCGATGTCCATCACCTGTTATGAAACTTAGTCCATAGATCCAATGGAGCTGACTCGCCGGGCTCACATTTAATCTTTCTGGATCTGCATTGCTGACTATCTTATGTTAATAGAAAGCTTTATCAGAGCCAGATTGAATACAAGTGGGGTCTAGTGTACCATCCTAACAATGGAGAAATTGTGACACTGCATTAGCGTACTGAAGCAGCCCTGAGATAATGGGCTAGACCTACTATTTGTTAGAAAGGGTCGGGGCATGGTGGAGTAGCGAGCTAGCTGGAGCTCGCATTATCCTCGAATCCTCGCCGGAATGCAAGCCATCGCTAAATGCGTCACCAAGTGGATCTTTTCATTGCCACGAAACCTTTATAACCACTGTGTTAATAGGCCAATAGTCCAAATGCAAAATACGCCCACGCACTATTATACAATACACACAGCACTCCACACCCACTCAAAAACGAAATGCGAAGTGCGAAAGCCGAACGTTGATCGTGGACAATACATGGAGACATCATGGCAGACAGGACTATAAAACCCCCCTAACCCTGAAGATGCAAGGAGAGCATATTCCTCTGTACATATCTACTCAGACATGAAATAGACCACATTTAATTGATAACACTCCATACTTGTCCTTTCGTCATACGAACATGCAACACATCACCACCGTCGCTAGACTGTGCAAGCCTGCGAGGTTCTGCACGCAACATCGAAACATGTCAAGCTTCCCAACTAGCATCTCCCCCTCACAGACAGAAATCAAGAACCGCCAACTTTCTCCGCAGAATTTGGAGATCGCAATCCGAAGTCTCCACCACGACGGCCTAGTCGTAGTGGAGAACGTCGTGCCCCACGATGCCCTGGACCGACTAAACCACAAAATGGTCGAGGATGCATGGACACTGCGGAATAAGGAAAACAGTCCCTTTAACTACAATCCCGGGAATATCCAGCAGGATCCTCCCCCCGTACGGAAATACTTTGACTCTGATATCTTCCTCAGTATGTGTCTGACGCTGACTCAATGTATAATAATACATACTAATAACGGCGCAGATCCCATTGCAACCCAAATAACCTCAACGGCGCTAGGGCCCCGTCCAAAATGGACCTTCGGCTCTGGAAACTCAGCTATGCCACCTACAGCTGAAAACCCGCCCATGTCCCAGCCAGTCCACTCTGATGCAGATTTCGCCCACCCAACGCACCCGTTCGCCTACGTCGTAAACGTCCCACTGATCACTATGACTCCTGAAAACGGGTCCACAGAGATATGGCTGGGAACACACACTGACTCGGGACTACACATCCAGGAAGGAATGCACGGTGAGCGAGCAAGCGGGCGAATTCAACTGAATGCCCTGGAAAAGCGAAGAATGATCCGGCCGCCGTGTCAGCCTGTTGTTCCTAAGGGCGCATTGGTTCTGAGGGACTTGAGGCTGTGGCATGCGGGAATAGGAAACCAAACCGATGAGGTAGGGTTATGTTAGCAATGAGTAAGTCTCAAATGCCCTTTAAAGAGCCATCGTGGCTAATGATCGCAGTTCATTTTGCGCCGTGGTATCGAAACCCCATGAGGTTGGAACTTGCGGAGGATTTGAAGCCCCTGGTGGAAAATGAGACGAGCCTTGAGACTCCTGTCGACTGGGTTACGGAGTCGGAGGCCATGTCGCGGTATTTGAATAGGGGGTTTGGAAACTCGTATGATTTCAGTCAGAGGCCCTAGGCGGCTCCATGGCTTTGCGGTGGGAGAGACTATAGTAGACAAAGTAATAAGACGTAAGATGTTGTATTACTCGAGTTTTCTGATATATCCAACCTATGAACAATGCAATGCCAATATGGTCACCGTCGCAGCTAGATCCACATTCTCTCTCATGTCAACTTACCATATGCTAAGAAATGGGGTAATTGATCCACCCTTCTGGCATCATAACAGTAAAATGGGAATTGCCATATTTCATTGGCCTTCGGAGAGAATAACAAATCGCCACACACCCAACATTGTACATCAACTATAACCTCTATCACTGTTTGACGGTTAGATATAGATGGATATGCAAGAAAACATGATTAGGTATGAACCAGTTACTCACCCAATAGCTGTTGGGTCTGAAGCATGTTGTGTATATGTGAAGAATGGTATTTAGATCCATAGCACCGAGTCAAACAGTAAGCCCACTTATGTAGCTACATGTATTTGAAAGACCAATGACTTGCTCCTCAATGGCGTATCCCACTTTCCCGTCCAAGCCCACTTCGCGTGCTTGGATACAAGGCGAGCAGTCTAAGTATGTCACATCCATTTTCACATTGTGCGGCATTGCCAATCTGTTCTGTCATGTATTGAAAAGCCCCGAATAGTGGATCTATGTTCATACCGCACTGCCCATAACGCAAATTGTCGAGGAGAAATTTGACGGCACCAATATTCCCATTCCGCGCAGCAATAGTGAGCATTCTATTGTAGTCCATCATATCCCACCAGTGCCTCATTAATTCGAGGGCCCACATCAATAGCCTCGCCTCCTTTGCACCGAAGTGGGGCTGGCTTAAGACAATTTGTAGCGGCGTTAGCCAGTATCGTCTGGTTGAAAAGCCAGAAAGTATTGATCCTGGGGTAGATTGGCCAGCAGGTGATCTATTATCTCGGGGTCGGTATCTTGTCTCCTGGCAGCGGCATGAAATAGATTGTTCTGATGCCAGGGCACGGAATATAAGAGCCCTAATCTCAGGAGTCGTAGTACCTCCTCCTTACTGGAATTGATACACAGCTGGTATACAGTTTCCCACCGTAGTATATTGTGATCCGCTGTTAAACTCAGAATCTTTTCTGTAGCGATGAATGAAAACCACTCATTGAGAGATTGTATTGCCCACGATCTTTCTGCCCGCATGGGATCGGATGGCATCGAATTCTCACAGCATGCGAACAATGGTCTTTGTGAATACGCCATGACTGTCGTAGTTAGCATTGGTCTTGAGAAGTAATGCGATTGTTGTCTTTGATATGCAGTACAAGGAGATGACCAACAAAGAAGTCAATCTGAAGTAATAGAGAAGAAAAGATGTCAATGAACAAAGTGACAGTTATCCCCATTTATAGAAATTGGTTATCGAGGTAGTTTTCATCTGGCATGTGTAGTATATGCATACACCCTACAATGGGGTCATTGGGAACAGTCTATGTTCAAGGCAAAAACCGAATAGAACTTTTCCATCTTAGCGGATTATACCGTGGTCTATTAAAGTGCTTCTTTTTTAGTAAGTGGAAACATCCATGTTTGATCTGCGGGCTTTGTTAATATCACAATGGGCAAGGTAGGTTCCAAGCTACCTACCATTCTCAGCTTTGTAGACGTACTCTTTCAAACTGGTGTTTACGTTACTTTCCGGATTACATGGCTGCGCATCTTACGAGATAGTTTTGATACCAGGTTCATGCCTTGTTGTCGACTCAATCCGATTTCCTTCTCATGCATGTCCAAGAAAATACCGACCAGACCAACACACAAACAAAGAACGGTATCACCAAAGAACAAGTAAATTAACAAAACGGGTATAAAGTCCAATCCAACCCAACAAAAGCCAACCCTCACGGCAAATTCCTCTCTCTAAATTCCCTCCACCTCGCCCAAAACCCGCTCTGTTTCTCACCGCTAACCTCCGGAGTACGACCCTCAGTCACGGCTGTCGCCATCTGCCCACCACCTGGCGCCTTTTCGTGGCCGCTAGACCCCGGTTTCACACCACTGCTGATGGACTGTGATCGAGGAACAAGCGTCGTCCCCGACATGGTATCATCCGTCAATCTGCCTTCCTGCAAGGCGAGCGCCCGTTCTCGGGCTCGACGCTCTTTTGCCCGGCGTGCGACGGCTTCGGCACCGCCTTTCTCGCCCAGCATGACCGTGCCCCCTGGGCCTGGGGTTATGGCGCTGTAGTCTAGGTTCCAGCCCATTTTTTTGGTCTGTATTCTGGTATGTAGACTTAGAGGGGCTTTGTTGTGCTGGAGGGCTTTGGATGGAATTGCTTTAGGAGGAGTTTTGTAAAGGCTGGCATATTTTTAAGGAAACTGGGGACTGTTGAGCTATATGTGTACTAATGTGGCAGTGTTCTAGAAAGATGCAGCTTGCACTGGTCATGGGAAATGACATCATACTACTCCACCTCGGCAGAGGATCCTCAGTTCTATGGGAGGCTATATGTCGATCCTCTTGGCGGGCGTATTAAGGCCTCAGCAGAATATACTGTGTAGTGTTGGTTTGGGCAGGAAGGGTTGGATGCTATCTACAGGGACTTGGTGACTAATTGTTTCCCCTATGGTTTTATGGATAGTCTGGCAGACAAAACATTAAGTACGTAAGTATTGAACTATGAATATGAACGTTTACTGCGCCGGATCAAACACCTTCTTGAACGTCTCCAGAGTATGAGCCCAGAGCTTCTTCGGGAGATCCTCCGCCCGATATCCGCTCATGAGTTTCTCCTTTGCTACATTGGCCCCGTCATAGTTGAGGATATACGATCCTCCGCCGATTTTCCCAGTCGAAGCTACGCTGGTCTTCACCCCCTCCACAAGCGGCACGCCTGCATTGGCCGGATCCTGAGGCGTCGCGGGCGGGTAAGCAGCGGAGGTCGAGATGAACAAGTGCCGCTCACCACTCTCCTGCGGGGAAATCGACATCGGACGCGATAGGAAGGTAACGATTGGGCCCGCGATCCAGCCGATGGTCTTGTTCATGAGAGGTGTGCGGACGATGCCGGGGAATATATGAACGAAGCTGATGGACGGGTACAGTGTGGCCAGGTGCTCCACAGCGAGGGAATTCATGGTCGCGGCATACGTGTTGGATTTCATGAACGACCACGACTTCTGTAAATCGAAGTTATCTTCTTCAATTTTGCCTTCCTGGCCGGCGGCTAGCACGCTCACGACGCGGGCTGGGCCGTTGGATGCGCCAAGCAGCGGGACGAGGTTGTGGACGAAGCGCATACGAGAGTAATAGCGGAGGACATGGTTGTTCTCCAGGCCTTCAGTTGTGTCTGCTTCACAGTCAGTGCCTGGTACTCAGATGACGGGATGTGTGGTTCTACTTGCTTTGCTTCGAGGTCGCAAGATGTCCCGTCGAGAGGAATAGTAGATCGATCGCCTTTTCCTTCTGCTTGATTTCCGAGCACACTTCGTCTACGTTCCGGAGAAGTGATACGTCTGATTGAATGAAGTGGAAGGCTCCGTCGGGATTGGCTGATTTGAGTTCCTCTAGTATCTTGGATCCGGCGGCTTGATTCCGTCCCACGAGGTGGATTGTCGGCTTTTTGATGGCCTTCGCTAGCTCCTTGGCTGTTGCTTCTCCGATTCCACTGGTTCCTCCTACGAAAACCGCGACGAAGTCTCCATCGCGGGCGTGGAGAGCGGCGTTGGATTTGCGGACTTCGTTGATGCCCACCATGGCGACTGAGATCTCTAGAGTCTGGAGTGGAAGTACAGATGCGAGGAGTACAACAATCCGAGTAAACTCTGAGTAATTCTTCCAGGTGATGACTGCAGTAATTGAGCTGCGTTTAAATAGAAGAACGGCGAGAATGACAGGTCGGTGTTCGGTGACGTTAAGTCCGAATGCCGCATTGGTAATGCGGCATTGCATCATCGTCCGCAGGTCGGTCAGCCAATGGTTGTCCGTGTCGACGGGTCACCTTACTTCCATACCCTAGTGAACGATTATTCCTCATCTAGGCCATGCATTACTGAAAGACGAACTGATCTTACCTGTCAGCTTTTGTCCCTGATATAAGCAACGGGTTGCTGCCAATATAGCTTGCTCCCAAACAATTTGGTAGTCAGAGGGGCCATTGGCACTGTAAAGCAAGAATACAGTTTCATTCTGGGAACCTATGCCTGTAAACTCCGTCGTTCATTTCCTCATTCAATCATTCATACATGATGCCGTAAAATAGAATTAGCATTATGGTTAAAAAGGGTTTCTTCCTCAGCCATTGGAGATTTTCGCCCTGTTATCCTGGGTGCTGATAAGAAAGCCCATCCCCAGACACGTGAAAATCACTGGTAAAAGATAGGGGCGGGAGAAAAGAACACCAAAAATGAACAATCATTCCCTGAAAGCCCCGGGCTTGTAGATCGCAAGGTAGGAAGCTTAGCTCGACGATACATTTGCTGCTGATTTGACGGCGGCTTCGACGTCAGTCAATCGGAAGCCGGGGGCTCGTCCCAGAATAACCATCTTCTTCAAAAGCGCTAGTCTGGATTAGCATCTCAAGGTTGGAATATTATCATCCAGAGAACTTACCCTGAACGAATCCGTCAATGTTAAGGACCCAGGTCGCTTGTCCTGTTGCGCTGTCTGTTCTATCAGAATTGTGTAGAGACGGCGATTTGAGCTCCGGACGATCATCTAAGTCCATAGGAATGTCCTTTGATTGATTCAGCTCAGTCTTTGGAGCATTCTCCTGATTTTCCGACGTAGGAGTGGCGAAGACACACGGTGAATCATCAAGACAGAAGCCCTTTTCTTCGAGATAACCTTGGACATCACGGCAATCAAGCCAAGTACCATCTAACCCGTATATCTTAAGAAGCTCCTGTCTCTTCTCCGCTGACGGCTTATTGTCCATCTCCGGAGCGCTGCCCGGAATCGAGCCCAGCACTCGGCCCGGAAGTCTCATATTCTCGGGATACAAAGGCTTTCCATCAGGTTGCACCTGTGGGTAATGCGTGCCGGCACCGCCAATGCAGTAGAAAGGCACCTTCGGTCTTTCCAAAGGCTCTTTTGGGCCTGCACTGAGGAGGGTAGCAAGACAGCGGGCCATTTTATCCTCTTGACGCAGGCAGCTCACCAGACGGAAGACACGATAGATGTCCTGGGGGTCCGTTCGCGGGTCAGTGAATAATTGGTAGGCGTACTCTATGCAGTATCGGTGGAGTCGACGAGCGAATGTCGATTCGTTATAGCTGTATGTGAAAGTACCACTGCTGTTCAATGGTCTTTCGATGTCCCTCGGGAGATTTCCCAAATATGAGCGATTCGCATATCGGACAGAAGGTGATACTCTAATGCGGTCACTTCCTGGTGGCTTGTAGAACGTTCCACTCCCCCCGGGGTTCATGTTCATCGTGTATCCAAAGGTGGATGCCTCGTTGGCTGCCTTTGCGGATGATAAAGCGGCGAATTCTATATGATGAAGCCCCGCAGCAGATGATGAGCTCTCATTTGATGATTTACTTTCACGCTTTACCTGCGAGACGGTGCAGTTGAGTTGCTGGAAGAGATAAGGATGAGTGAGATTGAGATCAGACTGAACGGCCATGCGGTAGAATGTGGATAGCGATTGAGATATTCTGGCCATGCTTTCTTCAAGCTCCGACACGCGGGTTTTCAGATCCTGAAACATGGCCTCTTTCTTCAGTCGGTAAGTCCTTTGTGCAGCCCGAATCTGAGCCCGACGGTCCTACTCTAGTATTAGCCATTGCCCAAAAGAATAATTTGCCACAGAGCAACAGTCATACACCAGGAGAGGTATTGCCAGAAGCTTTTCTCGGTCTACCGCGTTTCCTCACTCGGTTCGCCGATGAGGGCTCGGGTGAGCTCTTGTCAAGAATCTGACCATGGTCCGATCCCGGCTCTGCGCCGATTGCCTCCGATATGTGCGGGAACCGATCGGGCTGGTAATAGCGCGCCGAGAGCGTTTGAGACAACAAATAATCAGCCATGCTTACGGTTCTGCTCGGTGCTTCGGACAGCAGTAGGGTTGATTATATTTCCAGGGGGTTCCTTTTATAAGGAGATGATCATCTAATTGGAATCCTCAATGAGATTTATTCCGACTGAAGGTAATTACATGATAAAATCGCCTGATGCTTGGCGGCGGGTTGTGCAATGACCCAGCGAGATGTAGATTCTTCCTCTTGTGCCTCGGCTGATCGAATAATCTGCGTGGCTGATCCGAGGATCTTTTAAACGGGCCAATCACCGCCCGAGATCGTGACTGTGCCCTATATGGCGGACTATATCGAGGTACCGCCGTATAGACATCCTGAAGGATCAGAGATTTAGATATGTAATTCATTCTATTTTTGATCTAATATATTCTCTACAGATTTAACAATAATATCTCTCATCATCTGTATTAAGTATTCTAATTGTTGGCTACTTATCACGTCAGCAACGTATCCATAATAGGGCTATCTAGGGTGCGGTCCAGGCGGATCAGACCATAGCCGGGGAGGTCTGATGATAGTGACCTTCTGGCCCCGGTGGGAAATCCCTTGTGAACCCTGATTGCCGCACTCTACAATCTGGGTTCGAATTAGTCACAAGTCTAGGCTGACATGTTTCAATATCCCGCTTGGGCTGTTTCTCTACATCGAGGATCTTCTCGAAAACAATGATATTCTAAATTTACGCCCCACCGTCAAATGAATACCATGTTACTCCCTTCGTGGAATAGACTCAAGATGCAGAGGTTGTGATATCGATGAATCGTGACTATATGTAGCAGTACTCGACAGCGCTCTGTAGATCTGAGTCATCTGCATAGGGCAGCACTGTAGCCGCGCCCATAGGTACTCCAATTGGGCATAAATGTCCTTCCACACTCCATAATTGCGGTTGAATCTGCTTTTGTTTCCAATTATTTGAGGATGTGATTTGAGGAATTGGCATATAAGGTGGATGAACAACATAGAGAACGTGCTCCAACTCCCCACCATTCCCGTTGGCGTTGTTGGCAAACACACTCATCGAGTTGATTGTTCTTGGTTGGCTGTAAAGACGCCTCAATCTTTTAAATTCCGTCATAAGGGAACACGCCGTCGCAGAGTTGAGGCTTTTTTTCCCAGGGTTGATCGAATTTATCCCAAGAAGGAGAGTCCTCAGGGAACAAAACATCCTCGAGATCGACAATCACCACTTTACTGGGGTTGGAATCTCCGTTGTCGCAGAACAAAAGGTTTTCTAGCCTCTCATCCCAATACTTGGCCTTCTTTTCATGTAAATCTTTGAGAGCGTCCATAACCTGGGATTATAACCTTTCTTCATCAACCTGGGTCTCCCGAGCAAGTAGATGTAGAGGCGTCCCCGTAATTTCAGACAGTATAATCGCTGAACGATCGTTGAAAAAGCCTTCTCCCAGATAGTCAGGGATCGTTTTCCCTTGAAGACTTATCAACCTTTCATATGCCTTTTTCTCACGCTGAAATTCCGTTTGCCAACCATCCTTTTCTTGTTTGACAATGACTCGACGGAAAATCGCGAGGTGAAGACGTTGCTTCAAGTTCCACGCTATGTACTGTACCTCCCTGGTTGAGCTGGTTAATCTTCCTCACTGCGATGGACTGAAGGTGACCGTCTAGAACGATCACCTGGGGTTGTGTGAGCTTGATAATATACTCGGCCTTTGAACTTAAGAAGCGCTCCATACCTCAGCGGATTGCGATTCAAGCAGCGAACTCATCGCATTCGATAGAGACAAGTTGCCAGCTGATGAGTGAAGGGAAATAGGTCCATTAAGAAGGAATCCATGAACTTCAAAAATCAAAATCTGAGCTACGGTTTGATGAGCAAGACTTTTAGAGCTCTATAGCCGCTAAATTTGCAACAGGCTGCGAGATATGAGCGGGGTTAGGCAGCACTACATCTAACTCGCGTTGCTTGAGTGACGTTCCAAAGGTTTCATGCCATTTTTCACATCTTTTAAAACCCTCATGTATTTTCATATATCCGACTAGTATATCACCCCCGATTATCAATAATAGTTTGCACCACATGGGGCAGTCCCGTATTGGGATGTAAGCTAGTCCGGGCCGAGGTGTCAAAACCAGTCGTACCTTTATAATTGAGGTACAGAATCTCTTTCACAATTCGCACTCATCTCATCAATATCAACCTGTGTTGGCTTAATTTCCTGTGTCAAGCAGGGCAGAAAACTATCTCAGCATCTGGAAGTGTCATGAATTCGCAATCATCAGACGAAAGCTTCCACTAGTCAGAATCGTAGACTATGAATGCTCATCTCTTGCCCTCGTAATAGCTGCGGAAAATGAAGATTCAAGAAGAGTCGCTAGTTGACCGTCTCTGAGTCCAGATATCGCTTGCCCAGTTATACTCCCCGGTGCAGATAACGAATGCTCCAATTGCTCAGGACTGACTCCGGACAAAGCCATGCTCACCATCCCTCGAATGCATTGGGAAGCGATGGCAACAGCCTTCTCTATTGGAACACCCTTGGCAGCAGCCTTTTGGGCGATAGATTGCAATGCTACCGTCGTCAGTGCGTTGCAAAATGCACTCATACCCGTTGAGGTGTCAAAATAATCAGGTGAGATTTTAAACACCTTGCCGACCAAGTTGAACATCCACATCGCCAATTCCAGAGCCTCTTTCTCTGCAGGACTACTGGGATCGCCGATGAGAGTCGCCGATTCCTGAACTTCGGTTCCCATAGTTGGCATTGCACGAACGAGTCGGATGTCTTTCATCACCAGACCATTTGTCTTGTCATTTCCTCCGATTAATTGCTTTAGTTTGTCTTGAGGTGTTCTGGCGAGAATGCTGATGATAATCTTGTCTCGTAAGGCTTGTCGCATTTCGAATGGCTCAAGAACCTTATGTACCTGTTCCGGGGGAAAGGCCAAAAGAATGGCGTCTGCGTTCTTGACCGCATTGATATTTTGGCCAGAAACAATGTTCACTGGAGCCCGACTGCTGTGGTACAGGTCTCGAAGCTGTGCTTCTGATTCTTTACGCCTAAGAGCAACGGTAATCTTAGAAATCGGACTGTCAGGCTGAGCGACCCGTGGAAGTAGAACTCCGAGTAGAGCTCTGCCGATGTGGCCTAAGACGTTGTCAAATCATCATTCCAGCCCCAACTTGCGCGGGACAAGGAATAACACAGCTTACCGCATCCGAGAAATGTCAAATGAACAGGCTTCTGGACAAGCGACATGGTACAGTAATATTAATAATCAAAGAAGCTATGAAGTTTGGTAGGGTAGATTTGAGGGTGACCCCTCTTATATATCAAGGAAAGGATCCTGGCAGTCGGAAGAGACTCCCGACCGAGACTCATCGATGCCGACAGAAAATCTACAATTATTTTTGTAAGGGAGGACAATTTAAAGTCGATATAGGGCTGGTCACATTCATTCTGCCAAGGGAAGTAAGAGACAGTTTCGGTCTATCTAAGAAATACCAAGCTTTCAAGACAGTGACATGCGTTTAGATTTCTCCGCGGCCGCCATGATGGCAGTCGTGAACGCCGCGCGAACACCCAGCCTTTCCAACTCCAGAAGGGCTCGGATAGAGCAACCGCCGGGAGAAGCAATTTTCTCTCGAAGAACACTAGGGTGATCTCCAGCAGGTACCAGCTTCATCATCCCAATCGCACTGTTTACCACCAGATTTTGCACCTCGGGCCTCTTCACGCCCTCCGCGACGGCAGCATCCAGGAGCCCATCGATCGCAAGGAGCAGCAGGGAGCCAGCACAACCAACTAGAACAGCACAGATATCAAAAGAGCTTTCAGGGATTCTATGAGCCTCCCCAACCTGACTGAATACCCAGGACGCAATCTCGAGGTTCTCCTTGGTGGTGCCGGGGCCAGCGGTGTACAATGTCACAGCCTCTCGGATCTTGGCCGCCATATTGGGCATTGCACGCACACATTGAAGCGCGCTTCCACGGTTTGAGGCGCCGTCTTCGCCGAAGACCAGACTATTCAACGCCTTGGTGGTGATACCTGCCATTATGCTGACAACTAGTTTACCTTGTAAAGCTTCTTTGAAACCTGGCACAGCAAAGACATCTGCTCTCTTGACAGGCTTTATAGCCAGCAATACCAGATCTGCCTCCCGCACGGTGCGAACATTTTCCTCTTGGGTAAGGACTGTGAGTTGTGACGAGTGTTGGGATAGGGCATCTTCAACACGCCGTTTCGAAGGTTCGGTTCCAACCGTGGCCGTAAGACGCTTGACTTTGAGTTCAGTCGGGTCTTTTGGACTGAGAAGACCGGCAGCAATTGCAGTTCCCAGTGTTCCTGCTCAGCAACGGGGTTAACGGTGTCTGTGTTTAGGAGACAGCCATATTGGCGTACTACTTACCGCAGCCGATGACGGCAACTGTTAATTCGGCGTTAACTCCCATGTTTGAATGACAGGCACGTATGTAGGTGATTATCAATTTGATACTTTTGTGAATGCTCTCGAGTGTGAAATATGGGTTATTTAACCATGTCATGACGGTACGCACCCCTGGAGGGGACTTGTCTATAGCTTCGCGGCCCGAGAATGGGTGCCAAGATCCTCGATCTCGGTCCGCCGAGAGAACCTTTGGATATACCCTGCGGGGTAAACCTCAATCGGAGGATAAATCCGATGGTTATTCTCCCTGGGTGAAGATGTGCGTGAAATGAACATGTATCGCGTCCGCAGAAATAGTATTACGTAGTGGTCAAGTGCGTTGGAAAATGTTAGGGAAAAGAACTATATCCCTACTGTCTTGGTTTATTGATTGCATTTCTCTCTGGTTTAAAAGTATTTATTGTATTGCTAAGTTGTATTCCTACACTCAAACGTGCTAGAGAACTTTACTACTATGTACTTGATACTATTTGGGAGCCTTAATCATGTCTTTATTCAAACGTAGCCGATACGTAGTGCGAGAATAAAACCTTCATTTGAATAAATCAATCTGAAAAGGATGTTAAAGCTCATCCTAATCTGGCACATCCTATTGCTCCCCGATCTACTCAGGGATATGACAGGCACTCAGGGTGCTACTACTGCTGATATAAGAATCCTTGACACAACGAATACTTGAGAATCTGAGCAGAACATTCATCGAGTTTGCCTTGTCGTTTGTGCCGCTGGACCTGGCTCCACCAAAAGGATGCGCGCCGATAATGGCGCCAGTGCTCTTGTCATTGATGCAAAACATTCCAACCGAATCCCGCAGCTTCTTATCAGCAATTTTGACAGCCTCCCTGTCCCGGGCGAACACAGAGCCGGCCAAAGCATACTCTGACGTGCGGTCAATAAGCCCGCATATGTCCTCAAATCCAGTAGGTGATGTATCATCATATGTCTGAACGGCGAAGAGGGGCCCAAAGAGCTCCTTGGTCATTAAATCCGACTCAAAACTGTTGATTGTCTGATTCATTTCAAAAATGGCAGGCTGCACAAAGAAACCTTTGCTGCCGTCTGTGTTGCCGCCGTAGATCAGCTCATGGCCGTCGTCCTGGGCGTGCTGGACAAACTGTTCAAACCGCTGAAAGGACGCCTCCGAAACCATGGGGCCCAAGGGGTGATGAAGCTGTTTGACATCATTGCCGTATGTCATCTTGGATGCTTCTTGCACGAGCGCCTTTTTCAGATCCCCTTGCTCCCACATGGTTTTCGGGACAACCAAACGGGACAAGGCACTGCACTTTTGGCCCTGGAACTCGTACGCCGAACGAACTGCTGCGGATGCCAACCACTCAACGTCATCCTTGCAAGAGTTATGGATGAGATGGAAGTTCTTGCCGCCACTCTCTCCAACAATCCGTGGGAAATTCTTGTAGATATGGGTATTTGTCCCTGTTTGAGTACAGAGTGTTCGTAGGACGGATGAGGAGCCGGTGTAGTGTAAACCGGCGAAATGAGGACTGGCGAGGGCTGGTTCGACAACTGTAGTCGGATCCACCACGGGCAAAAACTGGATAACGCCCTTTGGCATACCAGCTTCCTCCATAATTTGGTAGAGGATATAGTTCGACAACACGGCCATGGGCGAGGGCTTCCAAAGGATGACGTTTCCCAAGAGAGCAGGCGTGAAAGCAATGTGTGCTCCCAACGCCGTAAAGTTAAAAGGTGAGATAGCGAGCACAAAGCCTTCTAGGGGTCGATAGTCGAGCCTACTGGAAGACGAGTCAAATTGCTTGAGGGGTTGTTGCTCGTAGAGCTGGGCGCAAAAATAAACATGGAAATTCAGAGTATCAATGACTTCCGTTATACAGTCGCCCTCCGCCTGTCCACATGTCTTTCCTTGTCCGATCATGGTGGCCGCCATCAGCTTCCACCGGTATTTGGGCGACTCAACAAGTTTTGCGGCTCTTTTGTAGATGGCACAACGGTCCTTGAATGACATGTTGGCCCAGCTTTTCCTTGCCTCTAGCGCACCGGGAATGGCTTTCGCCTTGATGGTCTCCGCATCCACTTGGTGGTACTCTGCTAAAGGTGCGCCATACCGGTCCCAGGGGTTGGCTTGCTTGCTCTTGTGGCCGGTGCGGATGCGTTCGCCGTTGATGATGCTAGGGATCTTGGTGACGTTGCTTTCCATCTCTGCGAGAGCAGCCCTCAAGAGCTTCCTCTCTTCTGAGCCAGGCTCGAATGCCAGCTTAGAAATCATATTACGTTAGAACTAGTCTGTGACCATAAATTTTGCGTTTGGGGGAGGGACATACCCCATCAGCGTTTGCAGGCTCTGGATACTGTACTGCTGGCATTTTGGATAGTAGGTGCGACGTAGTCGAGATATTATCGCAATGATAATGAATGGTACTGAAGATGGACAATGAGATGAAGATGATGTATTTATGGTTTCAGAGATATACCGACAGCCCCTCGGACCGGCACATTAAATGTCGCCTGTAGAATAAGAACGACTCGGTCTCGCCAGCCGAGAAGCAACTAATCATGTGTGAAATTCTGTCGGTCCGAGAAACCTTCAAACAAAATGGAACAACCCCTGGGTTATTATTAGTTTAAACTATCCTGAGTATGCCATTCATGTTTTTCCAGGGCGCCTTTAAGACGACTTTCGGATATGTCCCACGCTAGAGGAAATCACTATGTAGGTTGGGAGGAAAAATAGTTGCGGACCTCACAACATCAGGCGCGGAGAATGAATTTTATTGTGAATTCCTGAAGAGGTGCTGCTTAATCCTTTCGAGGCCTGAAGGTCTCCTGCGATTGAATTAGACTCGTCTCTTTCAACCCAACCTTCGGTATAACCACCCCCAAAGTCAATCAGATACGCATCCTGGTTCACATCGATGAGCACATTGGCGGCTTTTGTGTCTCCCCAAACTATCCCACATGAATGAAGGTGCTTCAATGTCAGGGAAATTTGGCTGAACCACTTTGGTCCGAACTTGGAATACTTAGGATTGCGTGTATCAATGCAATTGAGTGTTACCCCACGACAATCAATAAATGATAGAAGGAGTCCCATTACGTGCCCATCATGATCCTGGACCAAACCATGGAGACGTGATGTAAGAACAGTGGCATCGAATTGAGTAGCATGTATCTTTGAATAGGCGTGGAGCTCTCGAACAGTGATTCCCGCATCACCTCCATACACAATCTTCAAGAAACTGGGCGACGATTGCCCTCAAATAAACACCTTACGAGGTATAGAGGGTAATGAGGTCGATTCCGCATTGACTGGAACGTGAATCTCACTGGGATGGTAGACGGGAAACGCCGAGTAGTCGATATAGGAGGAAGAGGGTAGAATAGCTCCGACAAGGTGGTTCTTCTTGCCATCCGTTTTCTCAAGAAAAGCTGGGACTAAATTGCCGCCTACCACTTTGACAGTGTAATGAATTTCCTCTGAGAATAAACAGTTCTCTAGGGTGTACTTCCGGCTCAGGTCTAGAGAAGGAATAGAGTTGAATATTGGTAGAAACGGTTGCAAAATCCAATCATGCATTTCCTCCAGAGGCTCATCAAACTCTCCTTCATTTGTGTCAGGTATGTATTCTGGTTCTTGGCGCTTAACTTGCCGAAGATACTCTTCCAGCAGGGTAGGGGAGCTTTCAAAATTGGCAGCCAAAAGGTCAATTTTAAATCGTTTGCTGGACACGAATACGTTCAGCTGAGTGTTCTTGTCTTTGGTACTTGATCTAAATAGACCAATATCGTAAATGGGTCGCCGTCGAAAATCAGCCATAGTACAAAGAGGTGATGGAAGTCAGGATGTGATTTTGGATAATGCGATGTTGTATGTGCTTTAGGTGGTGCTCCGTACGACTTTCACCGACGTGTTCCAATCACGTGGTTGTGGTATGGGATTATTCCAGAAGAGGTTAAATTACTGTTCAATTGGCAAGGCACAAACTTGGTAGTAAGGGGAGATTCGAACATGCATCAGGTCTTGGGCATCTATTTTCCTTTTGACTTGCTGGCACGTTCCTAAAGTTCTGCATTGTGATGGCTGGTTATATACCTGTATCGCAGCGTGGAGTGTACGGGGAGCCATGATCCTGTCATCCTGAACATTTGAATCTATTACGAATAGAAAGGTAGAAGACGCCTGCAAATTTCACGACCCAGACGTGACCTCTCAGCAGCGGCGCCGCCTCGCCCCTCCAGAACCGCCTTATTCTCCGTAGCCCGTCTTGCTAAGAACGGTAAAGATTCCTTCAGGTCACCATAGCTCATTGACTGTGTTGACAAGGAGGTTAGCATGGTCACGACGGGAACTTGCCATAGTAGTACGTAGTATTTACCTTAACGACGAGCGGGAATCCACCTGCAGTCATAACGGAGCCAGTGATTTTGTTGGTAAGGTCATCCTTCATTCCTGTGAAGAGTCAGACTAGTTTCTTCTAGAGAGGGAGGATGGTCACATACCATATAACTGCGCAAATGCAATGCTACCAGCAGCTTCACTTGAAATCACAAGTCTGTCCTCACCAGGCATGCGTTTTGCCACTCCATACTTCTCCAGCAACTTTATCCCCAAGTCAACACTAATAGAGTTGTGGGTAGCAAACACGGCACTGATCCTCGACCGGCCAGTCTGTTGAATCTGATCAGTCACGGTGGAGAGAGTCTTCTCAATGCCATTATTGTAGCTGGCATCGGTATCTGCTTTTGTAGGCCACACTGGCCCTAGCCCCTCCCGGCCTTCCTTCTTCCATCTCGCTGCTTCAGTGACCATATAGGCTCCCCGAACCTGCTTGAAGAGGAGTTTGTATCCCTTCTTATCAGCACGCTCAATTTGCTGATCCAGGAACTGAGGGTACCTGCGGAGGTAAGCTTGAAACGAAGCGATACAAGTAGCGGGGCCGTCCAGTGAGTTATATTTCTGCATAAACTCGTCGGTCAGACTGTCGATAACTGGCTGATACCATGATTGTTCAGCATCAATAACAATGCGCACATTGTTCTCTCGTGCTTTGCTGATAATCTTCTCCAGAACGGCGCGTAGGGCTACTAGCTCTTTGCGATCCGCGTGCGTCACCCCATCTCCATTCAGTGCGGCTTCCCAGTCACCATCATGGGGCAGCCCAGGGTATGGGACGTCCTTGTCCAAGCCCTTTTCTGCCCTTGCGTTGAGGATAGCATTGGAGCCATGGTAAAGAGCAACTGGGTTGGACAACAGACCAGTGACTTTGATTCGGACCCAGCACCGGTTATCACCGCCAGTAGCAGTGGTGTCGGGCCACAGCCGGCGAGATAGCTTCCCCTGGGCCTCTATGGAAGACAAAACATGCTGGGTCTGCTCGAGAATGAGTTGCATATCCTTGCTGGAACCATCCAGTTCCGCCTCGATGTTATAGCCTAGAAGGGTACCGATTTCCTCACTGCGCAGAGCCTCTATCTTGGAAATACACTCAGCGATCGTTTGCCCCCCAAGGAACTGGTTGAAAAATGTCTGCATGACAACCGCATTGGTGATGGAAGACACAAGGGGAATTCTCGAGAGAATGTTATATAGAGACTCGCTCATGCCCACCCAGGTCGGAGAGGAGCAGAACGCGAACGCGCTATGCACCAGTCATTAGCAGCTGATGAAGGACGGATGAATTTGTGTCGCTGATAGGAAGTACTCACACCCAGCCGGAAAGGAGCTTTGTCAATGGAACCGTCGAGAGGGCCCTCTTGTCGCGGGCATCGTCCGGAGCATCGCACCGATTGCGTCCCGTCCACATCAAACCCAAAATGGCCAGGCTGGTGCCGCCCGCAGCATATGCAGCTCTTTTGCTATTGAAACAAGAGTCATTTGGTCTGCTGGCTGGGTTCCTCAATGTCGATGCTAGCCTAGAGTTGAAACGAGACGCCACAACCAAGGGCCGTCGTCGAGTCACAAGGAACAGGCGCTGTCTAGTAGGTACGGAGAACATCATTTTCAGGATTTCCAGGGGAAGAAAGATGTCTCAATGGAACATTTAGGTAAATGGACAAAATGTATCGTGAGGAATGTTAAAAAGGATCCCCGTGTATGCAAGTCTCGGCCCGGGAAGCATGTAACGGCTAACAGGTGTACTCGGGCCGAAAGCTGAGTCAATGTATGAGGTCAGCCAGAGGCACCTGAATAAAGAATCAATACACACACATAGCAAACGATAAAAGGGGGTGTGAAATTAACACTTCCATTGGTGGTCATTTGAGATACATTTCTATCGTTCTATATGACCGCCCTCCGACTACAATCACCTCATCCCGTATATACAGCAAACTGAAGACATCTCATTCCGAGGATACTCTCTCACCATTTGCAACAGTAATTACATGCCAGAGCTGAGTGCCATTCTAGAGGTGATCATGTATTCAGTTACCATACCATAATGAGACTAGCTTCTCCTCACCACCTCTTCTTTCCCTTGATTCCAAGCAGACAATAACTCCAATGTCATCAGAGCTAGTTCTCATATACTCCGCTTCAAGGGGGCGGCTCCCAGAATATATCTCCGTCTAACAAGTTAGCCAGAAGTTGCACATGCAAGTTCTGATTGGCATCTTCCTCTGGAAGGCTAAACATTCCATCATGGGAATCGTTAATCCGGTAGTTGTGGCCGCCAATTCCATCTGCCAAAACCCGAGCTGCCTGTAGGGCTGGATCATCGGAATCTAGTATATTTGACCCGACGTTGATCTGCGGAACATTGTAGATTGGCTGTACTTCGAGCTCATGTTGCTCAGCCGAGTATCGCGATATGTCGGGGCCTAACAGGTCTGCTAGCGAGTCTAAATATGCAGAATGCAGAGCTATAGTATCTTGTGGTGATAGCACGGCTTGCTTTATGTGCTGCGTGATGTCCCGAATGAGATTGATGGTTGTTCTTTGGAAGGCCGGGCCAAGACTGCTGTTGCCTGGAAGACATAGAAGTAGACATAAGAACAATGCTGCATTCGGCGCCAATAGAAGAATGGCATCAGGGGCTCGTCTCAGATCATCGGGCGGAAAATTGATCAAATTACGCAGCGTGCCGAAGGCGCCTTCAACACTACTAGTAAGCCCTGGAAGATTTGAAGGTAGCGTCTCTTGGATGGTCGTCAAGTCAAGATCTATAGAGACGTTGCCCGGTTGCCGACTAGAATCCAGAAATGAAGCCACTGAGGCCATCAGTGATTGCCGAAGTATAGCAGATGCGACATTAAGCCTGACACTGTGCTCCCATAGACCTATCAGCACAGTGAGATGGTATGAATTCAGATTGAGCAGCATATCATCATTTGATTGCGTCCTGACTTTACCCTCAAAATAATTTTTCCACTTCGACCTCCACGCTCCCAACTCCGTATCCATGAGTTCAGAAAGGCACGGCAACATGGTCGAGGAGGCCCGTTGAACCAAACCGCGCAACCTTGACTGAATACGTCGCAAGTCAGCGCTACAACAGGCAATGAAGTCTGATGGCAGCACGTATTGCATTTTCAGCCAGGTATCCATATCACTGAGTAAAGAAATATCTTCATCCTTTCGACTTAGCGATGGCCTTCGCATGAAAAACAGGCTTTGTTGTCTGTCCTGCCGGTATAATGCTAGCCATATTCTCCGGCGTCTCGCTACCTGCCACCCGTCACCATCACATTGCTCCACATCTAAATCATCGAGAATGCGAAAGGCGTAGCCACTGTGAAGATATGAGACGTCATCGTCCGGATCCTTCCAGCAAACTAGCAAGTAAAGTGCTTGCATTGTCTCAATGGACCTGTCGCCCTCCGCCATGGTCCTGATGACCAGGTTTCGAGCTAAACTGCAAAGTCGGCTTTGTACGAACGGGTCAGTCGCCGATACTATACATCCATCAACATAAGTGGCGAACTTGGATGCGCAAAAGAGGATCGAGGTAAATAGCAGGGAACTTCGCCGTTGCACATCATCGTGAGTATCGACATTGGGATCAAGGATGTACTCCCACTTGGCATTCATGTGTATCATGAAGAATTGGAATAGCGCTTTTGATGCCCGTGGGATGATCATGCCCCCCTCAATCGGGTCCTTAATGGTCTGACCAAGAGTCATGGATGAGAGGTAGGTGGGCATCTTGACTACGCCAGCGGCCCGACTGTCATTGCCAGTCACATTATGATGAGAATTGGTGTGTAAAGGACGGAGGAGCCATGAAAGCTTGAGCGAATGAGGCGTCATTTCTGACTGCTCGAAAGATTCTGGTTGGGAACTCTGCGCAGGACCGTCATTCCTAACACTAAATGTGGGGCTATCTCCCGATGTGACAAAGCTGAAAGGTGCTCCTCTCTTTCCTTTGAGAGTGACCAACGCCGCGATGATCCTTGCGCGGATTGCATTGGTAATCGGCTGTTGATGTTGCGGTAGTTGCGGCTGATGATCAATGGAAATGGCTCTCTGGCTGTGAGAAGTCCGAGGTCGAGGTATGTCACCGGGTTCGTCCTGTGTCAGACTAGTTATATTTCCAGTAGATGTCACTTCTTCCACGGAATGTCGATTGTCAACATCAGCAGTTCTGGGCTCACGTCTTGAGCCCTGAGGATACGGTCGTGCCCGCACTCTAGCCCTCTTCGTTTGAGTAAAAACACACTCAGAAGCGTTCGCTATACATCGATCGCATCGGTCTCGGCGTTGTGAGATTAGACAACGCACCTTCGCTTTCCGGCAGGCAAGGCAGGCACTAGCCCTGTCGTATCAGTACTCTACTATTGATTGAGTAGCAACGCATTACACTAGCGGAATCTGCAAAGAGACAACTCACGCGGACGCACGATGCAGGTCAGTCGGCGTAGCAGTCGATGGCGCCATAGTAGAATTACTGGCAGGCTGGGCTGGATGGGCCGAGATGAATGGGTGGGAGAGCAAAAGGCGTGAGACGGGGAGAAGCCAGCTCGGAGCACGTTCACGATCACGGAAGCGCCCTCCGACTTCCCCTCCATCTCGGCCCGTCAGTTGTAGAACCACAGCCTGCCCTTCTGCAGAACTACCCCTCATGTTACTATAAAATAGCATCAAAGAGTTGGAAATATGAGATGGATTGTCCCTTCGACTCAACCATTGCACTCTCACGCTCAATTACATTCAAACAAGTTTTCTCCGCCCACCCACCAACATGCCTGGCCGCCTCGAAGGAAAGATAGCCCTAGTGTCCGGGTCAACTCAGGGATTTGGGCGCGGAATTCTCGAGACCTTCATCCGCGAGGATGCAGTAGTCTTAGGCATGGACCTCCAGGCGACTGATGGTCCTGTTGATGGCTACCCCGAGCATCAGGCCTATCAAATCAAAGCCAACGTTGCCGAGGAGGAAAGCTGGAAGAAGGCTGTGAGGCGATCCGACAACCCTACTAATATCCCAACTGAGAGTTGCTAATCTAAAGGTTCTATAGCTTGAGACTTCGATCACCAAGTTTGGAAAAGCACCCTCCGTCGTCGTCCATAATGCCGGATGGTCATACCCGAACAAGTCCGGTCTGGATGTCACCGTTGACGAGTTTGACCGACTCTTTAATGTCAACGTCCGCAGCATTTACCTTGCTTCTAAGATCCTCATCCCGGAGATGAAAAAGAACGGCCCTGGCTCCACCATTGTCATTTCGAGTGAGAACGCCATTCGCCCAGGCGCGACTCAGACATGGTACAACGCTACCAAGGCCGGGGTCTCTTCGGCCACCAAGTCCATGGCCCTGGAGTTTGCGAGAGATCAGCTTCGCTTCAATACTATCTGCCCGACCTCTGGAAATACCCCACTGCTGAACAAGTTTGCGGGTATTGAGGCTGGGCCTGTTCCTGCTGAGATCATCAAAGCGAAATGCGAGGCGATCCCCATTGGCCGTCTTGTCGAACCGTCCGATGTCGCCAACGTTGCTCTCTTCTTGGCAGAGCCTGCGAGCTCCATTATTAGTGGTGTTGAAATTCTCGTGGATGGCGCGCGTTGTGTATAAAGCGAAGCAGATAAGAAATAAACTCCGGTTCTTCAACTAAGAATAGACGCGTACTTGTTTTAGGAACCCCTAGAAGCCCAGTTTCCAATCGATATCGCATTCATAGCCAGCATCGTAGCCTATTGGCTACATACATATCCCTGCATTAATGGGGATTACTTGGATACCCATATCGTCTATGAAGAGCATTACTACTAAATCAGATGATGGTACTCAAACTACAGGCAAGGCTTGTAAGGGCCAAGTACGCACAAATGTGCCGAGACGAACTTGCTTGGGATAATTTGAGATTGCGTATAGCTAAATGATTACAAAGCGTTTAGGTAGAGATCTTTGTGCTGGAAAAGGCTCTCCCAGTCGACCTTCAATACCGTGAAATTGGTTGATAAGCTATAGAAAAAGTCGGAGTCCACTGCTCCGAATATGGTGCAATATGACACGCTCAAAGCCATGCTCGCAGTATTGTGCGGGCAGGGTAGGAAAAGATGGCCCAAGAGAGAGGTGTCATTGTTGCGTTTGTGTAATTAGAGTACCTGATAGTCGGCCTAGGAGGATTTTCCCAGCAATATGATACGACTCGGTGTGTAGTGCGTAAACATTGAGAAATGCAAATGCTCCTGTACAAATCTCATTGCTATCGACTATAGCCCCTCTGGAAGCGAGGCAAATAGCAACTCAAGATAACACTAAACGGATGACCTGGCTCTTGAGAACCTCCGGTAGCGGAACCTCAGGGATTCGCTGGACGTGGATCGTCCCCGCAAAGTTGACGGTGAAACCAGATCCATGATTGCTGTATCACCCAAGCAGGGATGTTCGTATTCACGTAATCAAGTCCCCCTTTAGTTAAATGACCCCTCAGGGCAAGGATGTTGATGATCGGGAAGGGGTCCGAGAAGTCGGTGCGAGGTGGATCGGCGGACACCCCCCGATCTTATCGGCGGTCGACAACGCTGTTAACCAGGTAGGAGCAATAGAATTGACGTTGGCTATCAAGTCTCCAAGTGGATGTGTTGAATATCGCCCAATCACTC